GGCAGGCTTTTTCATCGGAAGACCCTCTATTACTATTTTGAAGGTAGGCTCCTCCCACGGGTGGGGAACAAGTGTAGTTTGGGTGTGGTTGATCTCCCCCTCTATCAAGAATCATGGTTTTTAATTGTAGTCTACTTAGGAATTTTCCCGCTCTGGCAGCCCAAGACCTTCCATTGTTTTGGACAAGTCCAACCACCAAGGTCTGCCGTACTGGGACTGGATCAGAGAAAATAATTATCTTACTGATAATCGTAGCTGTTCTTTGAGATGCTTTCTTGAAGAGAGGGCAAACCAGTTTCCAGTCTTTGAATTTCAAGTCTGGTCCACAAAGGGCTCTCAGGGGAGCTCTCATAGCATTACTGACCGATGATTGATTGATTGATGAAGATTAAGCCACCCAAGAGGTGGCACGGGCATGAATAGCCCGTAAGTGGTGGCCCTTTCGAGCCATTACCAGTATCAAAAGATGATACTGGAGATCTGTGGAGGCGCAACTGCACCCTGCGTGACGGGAGATGTCTCCCGGACCAAGTGGTGACCAAATGGTGTGAATAGAACTGACTGACCGATGGATTGATGGATGAAGATTAAGCCACACACAAGAGGTGGCACGGGCATGAATAGCACGTAAGTGGTGATCCTTTTGAGCCATTACCGGTATCAATAGATGATACTGGAGATCTGTGGAGGTGCGACTACACCTTAATCGACTGCACCCTGCGTGACGGGAGATGTCTACCGTGAAATGTGGATGTGATTAACAAATCCACAAGGGCAGTGACGAGGATTCGAACCGACGTCTGGGAGCATCCCAGACACTGCCTTAATCGACTGAGCTACGACAGGGTTAAAAGGGTTGAAACCGAAGTTCTACTGAACTTACTGGATCCCGTAGCCTCTCCGAGGCACAAACCAGGCTTTTACACAACCCCCCCCCCCCCTGCACCCGAGCTATGTCAATAGGCCGTTCTCCCTGGGATGTCTGGGATATTCCCAGACGCAGGTTCGAATCCTCGTTACTGCTCTTGTGGATTTGTTCATTTGATGCATCACGTTAGTGTGATCTCTGTGTGTGTGGATGTGATCATTAATTGATTGATTAAGATTAAGCCACCCAAGAGGTGGCACGGGCATGAATAGCCCGTAAGTGGTGGCCCTTTTGAGCCATCACCAGTATCAAAAGCTGATACTGGAGATCTGTGGAGGTGCGAATGCACCCTGCATGACGGGAGATGTCTCCCTTATGAATGTGTTAAGATGAAGATGAAGCCACCCAAAAGGTGGCACGGGCATGAATAGCTCGTAAGTGGTGGCCCTTTTGAGCCATCACCAGTATCAATAGATGATACTGGAGATCTGTGGAGGTGTGACTGCACCCAGCGTGACGGGAGATGTCTCCCGGACCAAATGATGACCAGATGGTTGATGTGATCAATGATTGATAAAGATTAAGCCACCCAAGAGGTGGCACGGGCATGAATAGCCCGTAAGATGTGATCAATATGCTGTCGAAGCTTATATTACAGGACTCCACCTCACCTGACTACACACTCACCGAACGACGGGGGAGACATCTCCCGCCACAACCCGTTCTCGCAAATTTAATAAGTCAATATTGACTTTACGAATTTGCGAGAACGGGTTGCGCCAACACATCACAAGGCGCAGTGTGGTCACAATGCGACCCAAACGTCTTAAGGTCAGAGCTACTCCACTTGACGGTCATGCTATCGGGAGAAGCAATACTTTAAAGGTCCTGAAGGACGTTACTGGCCTCGAACCCGCTGACATTAGTCAGAAAGGTGAAGATATCGTGTTCTTTTCATGTGAAGAGGAGCTAGAAAAGCTCCTCACTAACGATGCCATTCTTCGCAAAAAGCACCACCTACATCCTCACTTCCCACGTCAGTTCCTGGCCGGAAGAACTGTTTTTACCAGCAGGACCAGCCGGTGGATCGCTGAGCGACCTCAACATCATATCATGGACAATATCGAGGACGAAAATCCAAACCTGTCGGTATTCAACCTTGAGTTCTGCAACACCGACAAAACATCAATGAAGATTACGTTCACCACCATAGCTGCGGCCACCCAGGCTGCCACACAAGGATTCTACTGCTTCGGCCTAAAAATTCCACCCCACCAAATAAAAAAGGAACGATACCATGAGATCCAGCAGTGCTATAAGTGATACGAGCTCTCCCACCCGACCAACAAGTGTCAGCACCCTGTCCAGAGGTGCAGCCTGTGCGCACTGGACCATCACTACTCCATATGCAAGGCAACAGTCCATCGCTGCTTGCTCTGTGATGGCAATCACCCTGCAATTTCCTACCGCTGCCCCCGCAGGCAGGAAAGCATCAAGGCCCAGGTTGAAGCCAAGAGAAACAACCCTTCTACCTCCTCGACCAGAGCCCCTAGCTTTCAACCCACCACCTTAGCTCTCACTAATCGACCAGAAGACTTTCCAGTCTTACCAACATGTGGCTCCTCCCAGCAGGCGACACAGCCTTCTCATTGGGGACCCAAGGTCCCCCAGCTGGCTCCTTCACAGCCCCCTGCATCACGTGCAGGCATTATCCCTGGTCTTATTAGACTTGCGGAAAGGCTAGCAGGACCAGACAACCAGCGCTTTGTCAGTGAACTAAACGCATTATACATAGACAATGGCCTGGCCCCCATCATAGCACTAGCGTAAATCTCACTTCCTCCTCTACCACTCCGGAGACTACCACCAGGACGACCAGGTGGTCAACTTCAACACCGACTCCAGAACCGCCCACGACCCGGGCGACACAGAGGTAATTCCTTCTCCAGCTCCCAACACTCCTACCATCACTATCTCAGCAGCCGCGCTAGCAGCGCTCCTGAAATAGCTACAACCACCAATCAACGACACCTAAGCCTACCTAAGGCTGCGAGGCGAAAGACAAAAACGCCCACTACGGAGGTTACGGACTCCTCAGACGAGGAAATCATAGTAGGAGCTCCACCGCCGCATCACAAATACGACACCTACACGGTTCAAGACTTCCTCATGGAGGCCACGTCACCAAACTCCAACGACAGCACTGCTCAGCCAAAGTCGCAGGCAAAGAAAAAACGGAAAACCTAGAGGTCTACACTTATCCTTCCAGCTCCATAACTGGTATAGCCAGCCCTCCCAGGCTGAAAACCATCATGAAGACCCCCATCCATCGCCAGATCTCTAGTATCAGCCACTGATACAGATAATGGCTCCAAAGAGCCTCCACTTACGGGCTCACCATAGCCCGTGCTACTGGAACTTATTGTTCTGAGTAGCGAATCTTAAACAACATCACCTGGCCATCATCTACCAGGTTGGGAAGGGGTATTAATCGTAATAAGTTGTACACTTGGGAAGTGTAATTAGTGGACCAAGAATCAGTGTAGGACTGTTAGGAATGTGATAACTTAGAGATAGGTTATGAAGAATTAACACACCCATATCATTATCCGCACATAAACTAATGAGAGTAGTAGACAACCATCAGTCTCAGGAGACTATGGAGATGGGCTCTAATGAGAGTATGGAACAAGTACATTACTTACATAATATACTTGCTACAAAAGTGAGTGAGAGAGGTGTGGTAAAAAAAAGTGTGAGGGAGGTGTGGGACAGAATTTATCCGAGGGCCACTGTTTCTCTAGTGGCCTCGACGGGGACAAGGAAGCCGACAGCTTGTCAACCCCCACCTTCTTTCTTTAGCTGGATTTTAAGGGGTTTATAACCCTTTGGGAGACAAAGCATCTCCTGTTTTCTGACCTGCAGTGTGGCCTGTTGAGCTTGAAACTTTCATTCCTTGTTTGTTACTTCTAACCTTTTGAAGAGGTGGTCTGGATCAATATCCTCCAAACTGTGTGGGACGTAAGAGGCAAGAAAATGTGAGGCAGGTCTTTTAGGAAATTGTCTGTACTTACCTCTCAGTATTTACCTATTAGTGACTGTGGTGGCATACGCCTAGCCTTGTTGCACCTGCCGTGTTAATTTTTACCTATTCTAATGTTCAAATTCTTTGTCGAATCTGGTTTTAAATTTGTTGATGGAGGTGGATTCCACAACCACTTCCATTAGTGCATTCCACTTGTTGACTGCCCGTACAGGGCCGGAGTGTTTCCTTATATTTCTTCAACTCGTTTGCATTTCTAGCTTCCATTTGTGACCTCTTTCTTTCACTTGTCCTTCTATTTATGTTTGAAAAGGCTGTCCCCTGACCATCTTGTCTATTCCCATCTGTATATTATATGTCGTGATTATATCCCCCCCGTTTCATCTATCCTCTAGAGTTAGGAGATTTAGTTCCATTAGCCTATCCTCATTGTTTAATCCTATAAGCTCTGGCACCAATTTCGCTGCAAACCTCTGGAATTTTTTTTTTTTTTTTGGTTTTATAATTAACAAGACGCAGATTCGATGAGGGAACAGTGGTAGTAGCATGTACAAATGCAGAAACGGTTGGTACTCTGAAAAACAATATACCTTTTGTTTTAATTTAGAGTTAAACTGCATATTCTCATTGAACAAATGCTGACTAAAGAAGCGTTTGCTATTACTCATTAACAGCATATGTCAGTTACGTGATTTACATGAAGCTAGTATATAAATGCAGGCGATGAGTCACAATAACGTGGCTAAAGTATGTTGACCAGACCACACACTAGAAGGTGAAGGGACGACGACGTTTCAGTCCGTCCTGGACCATTCTCAAGTCGATTGTGAGCATAGTAAAGTAAAATAGGTACCTAGGTGTTAGTCAGCTGTCACGGGCTGCTTCCTGGGGGTGGAGGCCTGGTCGAGGACCGGGCTGTGGGGACACTAAAGCCCCGAAATCATCTCAAGATAACCTCAAGATGGTCCAGGACGGACCGAAACGTCGTCGTCCCTTCACCTCCTAGTGTCAAGTATATAAATGATTTATTGGAGATCTACCTTGTCCAAGGGCATTCCGGACACTAGTCTATTTTTACACTATTTGCAGGTATCGATGAGGGTTTCCTGAGTGTGGTATTCGCCTGTATCCTTGTAGTCATTGCAGGAGTCACCCTGTATGCCTTTGTTGTCCTCTATGCTGCTGTCCACAGACGCTGGACAGAGAACCCTGATGATTGAAAAACTCGATTTTTTCCCATCTGCAACTCCAGTCAACATTTCCCAAGAACAATTACTACATTACCTATTTCTGTGAGTCTATTAGTTGTTGTTAAGTGAGCATTTTATAATAAAAATTGGTAAATGGGGATAAATAAGGTGCAATCAAACCCATTAACCCTATTTGGGTAAATGTTTTTGTTTTTGGTGTATTAAAAAGACATTTGGATGTTTAAAGTAAAAAAGAAAATCATGGAACAAAAATATAAAGATGAAAGCTTAAATGATACATACGTATTATCTCAAAATTCACTCGGTTGACCTTTAGGAAAGACTTTACTTATCTTGAAGACTTAATTAAGAAGAGGAAATGGGGCTATAAATATTATACCTGGGTTTATATACTAGGACCCTGTATCTACAAAATTATATTACTGGTCCCTTAATAGATTAAATGGCTTGTTTACTTATTAGTTCACCAGGTGCCATGTGATGAACTATGAACATAGAATGGTCTCTGTTGAACCATGTGATGAACTATGAACATAGAATGGTCTCTGTGGAACCATGTGATGAACTATGAACATAGAATGGTCTCTGTGGAAACCATGTGATGAACTATGAACATAGAATGTTTTCTGGAACCACTTGACATGGTTTTAACAACCAAATATAAGTCAACAAACATTTTCATAATATACAACATGCATTTCAGAATTGGTGACATATATCACCAATTAGATCAGTTTGCTGTGTATGGCACCTTAGTTTCTAATGGGAAATGCCATAAGAAGCATCACACACACACTACATAAAACTGGCATACAATTATGTGTAGTGTAAGTGCCATTAGTCAGGCACTATGTATGATATACAGACTTAGTACGTTAAATGTTGGATCATGCCAATAACAGGATGGGTTAGAATCTAGACATAGCCACACCCTTTACTAGAGGGGGATTTCAACAAGACAGGGTTAATTTCTATTCCATTTAAATTTGGATGCCAGATACATATACTAAAGTCTTGCAAGCAAACTGTGCCCTAAATCACAGTGCTGTCATTATCCACTACTTATTTATAGTTATTTAAATCCAACACATTTTATTTATACTGAACTTTTACATATATCCATGAGTGGTCAATCTGGGCAAATCAGAGACTTCTTAGCAAACTGAAGAAAAATGTTCTTTCTTATTAGCATACAAATTATAATTGATATAGTCCCAATATATGTGACTATTGATAAAACCAGCGTTGAATGTAATGAAACGCCAATTTCTGGGTGAGCCCCGATGGCTCCCTGAAGCTACTATACTGATAGTGCCAGACTAAAAGGTGCCCATCAGTTACGGAGTTCTTACTGGCCTACCAGGGACCACGAGCCAGAACTTGGCTCCCTCAAAGAGGCGCAAGGAGTAGTGGGCCCTATGAAAAAATATCTATGTAAATTTAATAATGTCAGCCACCACCAAGGGAAGGTATCTATAAAGTCAGCAAAACAAAAACAGACCACTGCTTGGTAAGAAACGAGACCACAGGTCGACAATTTAAACAAGCACTGGAAAATTCATGAAATTATTGTGAGATAAATCACCCCACCTCCCCCTCCTCGTATCGGAGGAGGAGGAAGGAGACAGACCAGCAGGTCAGCCGACTGCTCCACCACTAGTTCTTATAATGGAAACCACTGCGACACACCTGAGGGAGGGAGGGGTATCAGGGAGCCACTGGGGCTCACCCAGAAATTGACGTTCATTACATTCAACGCTGGTTTTTTGGGGGAAGCCCTTTGTGACTCCCTAAAGCGTGCACTCATGAAGGAAGAAAAGCCTTGATAGCCTTAGGTGGGTGTTGGGTTCGTTATGTTTCTGGTTAGGTGAAACAGTCGCACCTTTTACGGAGTAGCATACCCAAAGATGGGCATTGTGTTACGATCAAAGTTTCATTGTTCCTCTTCGTAAAAAATGCGATTGTTTTGCTTATCCCGAACAACCCACCTAACCCATCGATGGAGATGCCTAGAAAACAGTGTTTAAGAACATGGAGACGTATAGGTGAAGGGAAACATTTGGAAATGGGAATTTAAGAAGCTGGAGAGGTACAGGTGAAGGACAAAGTTTGGAAAGGGAAATTTAAGATGTAGAGGTACAGATGAAGGTGAAGGGAAAGAAAAACTGACGCAAAGAGGTCGACATCCCGGCATCTGGTAAAGCCACAGGAAGGAAGTGGCGTCGACAGTCAATTTCATAGAGGCGGGAAGGAACCAGGACAGACTGTCGGCCTGAACATTGGACACTTTCTGAACGTGAATAGCATGAAGAGCCAAACCCTGAGAACTCAGCAGGCGAGTTACTCGAAGAGAGTAGCTCCAAAAAGACAGGGACCAAAGAGACTCCCCCTAGTTGAGACATTGAACCGTGGGGGAAGATTTCAAATGGAGCCAGATCACAGAACCCACTAGAATCTGAACCCTCTGCAGCGTCTGCTACATGGCTGCAACCTCCGAACTACACTGTGTGCCTGACGGAGGAAAGGAGGCCAACAACCCTGGCCAGACTGGTGAGCGCTGGTCATAAAGCCCTAACCAAGAGTTAGGAGTGGGGAAGGGGGGGGGGGAGGCACCAAGGAAAAAAACATCATTTTTTGATGGTTGAAAAAATTTGATTTTTTTTTCATCAAATTCCATGAGGAAGCCAGCGACACAGCAGCTGGCGCAGGACCCCCTGGAGTCTGCATCCAGCGAGTGCAAGAGTGGCAAAATTGGCTGCTCCAAAGAAACCAAAACAGCCACTGAAGCCAAAGCCTGCCCAGAGAAAAGAGCAGAAGGGCAAAGTTCAGGCTCCCGCACAACTCCTGGAGCAACCGCCAAGTCACCCAGCGTCCCATCAATACCAAGAGATGGCATTGCTGTAGCCAGAGCAAGGCCGTGGGAGGCAGGGAAAGTGATGCCGACCAAGAGTCCCAAAAGTGGCCCAACCAAGTCTGAACCTGGGACGGAACCAACCAGGAATTCTGCCAGGTCACCAGCGTTCTTGCAATTTGGTTCTTTCCCAGCAGGCTGGGTAAGAACCAAATCTCTGGTTAGCAGAGACACAGATTGGCTGTGAGCCGATGCCAGCCTGTGGTCGAGGTAGACAACACCCTGACACTCAACAACCAAAGACAGGCCACCACAACCCAAGCACGTAAAAATGCAGAGTGCCAGATTGAGCCCAAATGGGAGAACCTAAATGTAATTGGGTTCGTGGAAAGTACGTATGACCCAGCATCAGGCTCTAAGGATTCTACCTCGACCAATATGAGGCGAGGCCTAGCTCAATCAAACTGCCATGGAAGGCGAGAACAACACCCAGAAACACAAGTCAGAAAGAGGCCGACCAGCAGTGGCTGCAGAAGACAGGAACTGAGAAATAATGTCCCCAAGAAACAGGAACGCGGAAAAGGGGAGAAGTGGAGATGCCGAGCCCATGCCGAGACCAAGGACCAGGCCTACACAGCCTGTCGACATACAAGATGGGAAGCGAAAACCGCGGCCACTACCTCCCGAAGGATTGGAGCATATAGTTCGAGGAGGCCGCCAATGCAGAAGCAGTAGAGCCCAGAACCCATACAAGAGAACTACACTGAGTGTCCCAACATCCTCCTTGAGCTAATCACAAAGAAACACCAGGAGGCTCAAGAAGCACACGATGGAGCCCAAGTGCAAGCAAGCACGATGGACATCCGCAGCTAACGCAGCCGACAAATGAGTAACATGAGCATGCAGCTGCACAAGACCAACATCACGGGAGAGTGCAGAAGCAAAGAGGCATGCAATGAGAGGTACCAAAGAGCCCCCCAGAAACACCTGTAACACAGGAGACACCTCCCGCCACTCAAGCGCATGGGAACAACAGAAACACTGCAAAGCCCCAAGGGTAAATAAAGGACAGTCTGCCAGCCAGGATGACTTCGGAAACTCAGAATGCAACCAAAAAAGGGCGAAGAGCCAAACTTAAAAAAAAAAGAGACCGGGGACCAATACTGAGGCAGAATCCAGGTCGCGCTGAAGGTACTCATAAAGGGCTCCCGAGCCCCAGCCAGAGAAAGTGAGAGGAAGTCTGAAAGGACGAAACCAAAGAACCCAAAAGCACTCGGAAACGAACCCAGGGATGAGCCACACCCACATCGAATGCACACAGTGAGGGAGAAAAACTAAACCCCACCCCTCCCCCAGCAATAAAAAAAACTACAGAAGGCATTAAGCCAATGAAGAGTCAAACGGGACCCAAGGGCCCAATATTGACTCCCCCAAGCCTAAGAAACCACAGAAGAGGGCCCCAGGGCAGAGCCTACTCCACCACCCAGGATAGAAAAGCAATCCTAAGGGAATGGCCTCAGAAAAGGGGGGGGGGGGAAGATAACCGGAAGACCCAGAAGCCTCAGGGAAAATGGTAGGCTCGACTGCCTCCATGGCCAGGTCGGAAGGGGCAAACCCCGGATCCGTCCAAGCCACATCCCAAGCTAAACCCCGCCCTAGCCTCAAAACCCTCAGATGCATCAGGGACAGAAGAACCGGGGGGGGGGGTGGGGGGGGGGTATAATAATGGCCACACACCCACCGGGGAAGGAAGAGGTGCTGACAGAAAAAAAATACAGTTGAGGAAACTAGCACCCCCAAATCGAAGCAGGACAGCTAACTTGGACTGCAGAAACACAAATGCAAAGCGGTCGCTGTCAGATATTCTGGAACATCAAGAGGAGGGTGGATAAGAAGAGCAATGCGCAGCAAACAAGTTTCACATGACTCTAGGTCGAAGGTGTCACTGACCCAACAGGCAGCATGGCAGTGACAAAGAATGAACGTCGCCTGGTGACACAGATTCGTGGCCACCAGGAATCTGGTGGCCAAATGGCCAACTCTCAATATCTCACAAAGCGAGAGCAGGTTTGGCAAAGGTATCTACAGTACCATCGAACCCACTGGGAATATCCAAGGTCTGCAGGGTGAGCTCCCTGCAGGTATATTCGGGCACTTACAATGCAACGCCTGTAACCCCCTATACAGCAGTATAGTCACCCCTTGAAATTCGACGCCAGTGGAAGGGCAAGAGACCACAGCGGATGATTCACACCCAGACTTTAGGTAAAACCTAATGGAAGCAGGAACAGTTTGAATAAAACCCCTAAGTGGAATGCAGCCCAAATGGAACAAAAAGCCTCGAAGGATCAAACAATAAAACAAGGACCGCAAACTCTCAAGGCACCAGGCCACGGAGAATGAGTAAACAAGGTAGAAACGTAGACCCAACCAGGCATATAAGCTGGAGGGACCACCTCAGCAAGCCAGCAAGGTTAGCACAAACCATAGTGCGCCCCACCAGACAAAATCCACTCCTGACCCGTGGAAAAACAGACAGTCCTAGACAACCAGTTTACCTGATGAGCGAGGGCCACCACATGCGAGAAGACCCCCTAAGGGAGGGGAACCCCGAACCCTGACAGCACAAAGATAGTACTCCACGAGCACACATTGAAGGAAACCCTGAGCACATGCAGCTTCAAGCACACTAAACTCCTGGCTAATGCTGCACAAACATGTACAATAACAGCTTCAAAAGCAAACACCAGTAACCAGAAGACAGGAGACAAGAGCCAGAGCGAACTGAGAGGGCAACCAGCACTTTCTACATCAGTATAAGAACTGATGGTCCACTGGAACAGCCGGCTAACTCAGTCTGCCTCCCTCCCCCACAAACAAGGGGAGTGGTAGCTTGCACTAGTTTCATGAATTTTCAATTGCTTATTTTCATTGTTGGGGGAGTTCTCTCAGATGATTTGGAGCTAGAGTCTCGTTTCTAACCAAGCAGTGGTCTGTTTTGTTTCACTGACTTTCTGAGTGCCTTCCCTTGGCTGACTTGAATAAATTTACAAAGAAATTTGTCATAGTCACTGTTCCTTGCACCTCTCTGAGGGGGTCAGGTTCTGGCTCATAGTCCCAGTAGACCAATAAGAACTCTGCAACTGATGGCACCTTGTAGTCTGGCACTAAATAAGTATAGTAGCTTCAGGAAGTCACTGGGTTCCCCGAAAATACAGTATTACAGTACAAAATTGATCAATACTTTATCAGCATTGATACATGATACAACTGTGGAACTTCTACAACAGTATGATTTGTCTTAGTGAAAATAATGTATGGTTATACCAAAAGCATTTGGTCACAGTAATAACTTGACTTATCAAGTTCCTAGCATTGTGAATGAGTTGTATTAATAGTCACATATTAATACAACTTATTCCTCCATTAATATGAGACTAGTTAACACTGACAATAATATGAATCTTACTGTGAACCATTAAGAATGATGATGGAATTTACAAATAGTTTAAGTCAAGAATATTTTTTCAATTTATACACTGTAATGTGAAGATTGATATTGCTGATTCATATCATTTGCACTCCTATTATAGTGAAGCACAAAATGAGTCATCAGGTTTATAAAGACTATACTAGCTTATAGGGACTCTGTGGTCAGTGACATGTAATGTTTATCTGAAGGGACCAGAATATTACTTGTCGAAACCTTTGTTTGGTGCAGAGTTCTGTCTGAGCTTCCATGATCTCAGTGTGTGTTGTGTGGTGGTGAAGGAACATCGTCGTCCCTTCATTTTCTAGTGTGTGGTCTGGTCAACATAGTTCAGCCACATTATTGTAACTCATCGCCTTCATGTGGTGGTGAAGCTTGGCATTTAATGTTTTTGTTACATTACCAAGTGTGATACTGTTAAAAGCAATCATAATTGCAACCACTCTTCCATCAGACTTTGTACATTAGAGTTGCCATGTTAATGTCTTTAATGATCCTGCTGCAACAGTGTTTGGCCCATTTCTTTCTAAGCCATAATGTGTCATGACCTGGGATGAAGGCAAGTTAGAAGATAAGTGAGTATGTACTGGTATAAAAATAATCTATTTTCCAGCTAAGGATCTGCCTTGCGTCTTTTCAAGAGAACAGAATTTAAGCAAGTTAAATATAATCTGAAGATTAATGTTCTATTTTAAATATGTATGTATGATATAAAATGAACAATAGTAATCCTGAACAATTAGAAGAATACTGCAGTGCTCTTAGTACCAAAAATAAAAGTAAATATTTGCTAAACTACGTGTACATTATTTGTGATAGCAGCAAAACATTGTTACAGTATTTAGTTACAATGCATGCCAGCTTTCTGAGGTAATGTGACTACTCTAACAAATTTGAGGCAATGTGGTTCCTATGCATTTGTTGGTTTACTAAAATCATTGTATTTTAATGTTTGCACATGCACAAAGAATTCTATACAATACCGAGATGAATAATTTAGTGTGTATTACTAATAAGATGATGCAATGTCTGGCAATTATATTATTATTACATTCTGACCTTAACTCTTTTTATTCACTACATTGGCCAGTTTGCTATAACTGTATACCAGCTCCTGTATGTCATGGCCTTGGGACAACTATTACTTAAATTATTAGTATTATGAGCAAGAGGTAAAAATATGTGAAAATGATAGGGTGACAGCAGCAGGCAACACAACTTGTGATGACTGTAACTCAACTTTTTGAACAAATGTCAGATGTGGGAGTAAATATGGATGTGGCTGCCTGGTTTTATGAAGCCATCATTTTGTCATCATAATTTAAAACTTTCTCATTCATACACACTGTAATCTTTGTAATTAACTGCCTGCATCCTATTGTATGTGATTTTTACATGAGAAAGTTGAACAATACTTATATCACCTATTTTCAGTACAGCATTATAATTTTGTATCAGCATAAGATTTTGACACTAACTGGTTTCCTGTGATGTAATAGAGAGGGTTGGGGAACTGACCGTGGGTGACTTTCTCTGTGAAACCTGAAGTGCATCATGTGTCCTTCTGTAAGGCTGTGTGGCTCAGGGGAGTGCTAAAACCCACTATTAATAAACTGGCCAGTGGGCTGAAGCTTACCCGGCCAATAAATTGGTACATTATTTCTACTTTTGACTTTATTTTTCCAGCCTTCTACTTCATTCACCAGTCAGGCCAAAAGGATCACATCATAATAAACAACATAAGGGCAGTGGATGATGGCAATTTTGATTTTACTTTTATATGTTGCAATGAAATTATAAGAACTTCAAACTACCTGTCACTGTTGCAGGAACCTGTATAAATGAAATTCACCTTATTCCTTTCATAAAGAATATAAACGTGCCAGCTGTAAAGCACTTTTTCTGTAAATTACTATGATTTGTTATTTTAGCTGTCAGAAGTAATAGAGGAAGAAAGTGGATGGTGTGTTGTAAGGAACAACAGTACCATGTTTATTAAGGCTTGTTTTTTACTGGTGGCATTAATCACCCTGATATTTACCACATCTGTGGCCCTTGAACAAATCTCATTTACAACACATCAGTCACACACTTCCTTTTCTAGTCCTACTACAGCATTTCTTTATATTTCTTCATTCATATTCTTGTAGATCGAACATTTCGGCTGAATGACTCTTAAATGTAAACAATCCCCTCTATCTACATCAATATCGGTCATTCCTACCTAGATGGGTAGGTATGAACCTACCTCCTACCTACCTTCACGAGTTTAAGCTGTCAATACAGTTGGATTTTTTAATTATCTGCAAAATTTGTTTCAGGAAAAGTCACCTACATTTTATATAACATAATGGTAACAAAATCTATAACAAATCAACCTGTTGTCAATATTCTTGGAAATGGAATTCGAGTAATGTTATCTGGGAATTTATATAAAATTGAAAAGTGTATTTTAATGTGTGAAATATGTGTACTATTTACTTTAAACAATACAATATAAAAGAAAGTAATCACATACATGAAAAATGTGCTTTTTCCTAACACAGAGAAGACAAAGCAGATAAAACCACAGAGTACTACAGTACAGTATACTGAAATATAGTAATATATGTTCAAAAGATTGCATACTAAGTCTAGGTTCCGTTGACTCTATACTTGAATACTCAGTACTGAAGCCACATTGTAACATGATTAATCTATTCTTTCAAAATTAGGATTTTGAGGAGGCTGACAAGCAATTCAATGAGCTGTTACGCTAAAAAAATATATACTATATATATTATAGTGGAATAATAATAATAATAATAATAATATCAATATTATTATTATTATTATTATTATTATTATTATTAAGTAATGGTAATTTCTCACACACGTAATAACATAGGATAAAAACCCACACTCATGTATTTGTGAATTTTATGTAAATATTGACACTAAGTCTTATCCCACTCTCGAGTGCTCTGTCAAGGTCTGAGTATGTTGTTAAGACAAGACTTACATCTCGACCTAACAGAGATGTAAGTCTCGTCCTAACCACATACTCAAGACCTTGATAGAGCACTAAGGAGAGTAGGAAAAGATGGTGTAAATCTTGACATAAAATTCACAAATACATAAGTCTGAGTTATGGAATAATCCAACGGAATAATCCTACAATAATAATAATAATAATAACTGAGAACCAGTCTTAATATCTATCTTTAGTAGCAGTTCCCAGGCAAGGTCACCAGAATAAACGAAAGTAGTAAATGTGATAATGATGATGATAATAATATTAACAATGAAACACTAAAGAGTGAATTTAGAAAAGATAAAATGCATTTACATTTTGAGTAGAATTTAAAACCAACAAAATACTAGAGAAGAATTATGTGTACTCACACACTGCGAGAGAAGTGTCCTCGATCACCTAAATAACTCTGAATAACAACTTTAAAATAAATGGGAACATTAACAAAATATATAAAACAGTGCAGAAAATGTGGCTTATTCCACAGTCCTGTTGAAATATTTACTTCAGTTCCTGTATTATGCATCCCATACCCATGCTATGAGTGGTAGTGGACACCATACCCATGCTATGGGTGGTAGTGGACACCATACCCATGCTGTGGGTGGTAGTGGACACCATACCCATGCTATGAGTGGTAGTGGACACCATACCCATGCTGTGGGTGGTAGTGGACCCAATACCCATCCTGTAAGTGGTATGGCCACTACCACCTATACCCATGCTGTGGGTGGTAGGGGAACCCATACCCATCCTGTAAGTGGTATGGCCACTACCACCCATACCCATGCTGAGGGTGGTAGTGGACCCCATACCCATGCTGTGGGTGATAGTGGACCCCATACCCATCCTGTAAGTGGTATGGCCACTACCACCCATACCCATGCTGTCGGTGGTAGTGGACCCCATACCTATCCTGTGGGTGATAGTGGACCCCATACCCATCCTGTGATTAGTAGTCCCATGAGTGGTGGTAGAAAAGGTTATAAACACACACATAATGTGAGCAGTGAGCAGCAGTGAGTTAGTTACTATTTTAACATAAATATCAATACAGTAGTATGTTCAGTTAGGGGTTAGTTTAGTTTAGTTTAACGAGTACAGAATCACATACCGTATAAATTACTGTACATTGAATGATTAAATACCGATTTACTAAATATATTAAGTGTTGTACTTTTACAACACTTTTGAAGGTTTGTTAAACCTTCAATTATTTGCGTATAACTTTATTCAATGGTGACCAACTTTATCTGCTTTGTCAAAGGAAGAACATCATGTTTTTCATAGCCTAAAAGTACATTCACTAAATCTTAAAAAAAATGAAAATATATGAATAAAGATTTATGTATGTACAATAAAAAATATGAAGAAACATAGTTTTGAGAGATGACATGCTCCAGCATACCTAAATTTATCAGCCACTATGTATTTTATTTTTAAGATTACCTGTCATTACCTATATTTTTTTTGAGGGGGGGGGGAGGAGGGAGCTTAAACTGAAAATAGATATAAATCATATGTTGAATACTGTATAATGAAATGACCTTTCCTAGCTGGCCACTCAGAAGCTTCTTGTAGCTGTGGCACTTTGATTTCCAAGCCTCATGGAATTGCACCAGGATTCTGAGACTAACTCGAGTCGATCGAGAGCCAGGACCAGAATCTGGTTCTCTTCATGAGACAAGGCAAACTTGAGGTTCTAAAATTAACCCAAAATTTGAGAAAAAAAACTTGAAAGCATAAGCACAACAAAATAAACAAATGCCTGGAGTTAGAAACCTTCAGGTAAACAGGATAAACAACTGCCGCTGCAGGGTAATTATCCCAGCTATGATGCGCACACACTTGAACAACCAGCCCACCAAAATCCCTATCCTGGCTAGGAGGTAGGATAACTGGAACTGGTTGCTGAAACCAAGACACCCACTTTCAACAAAACTGTGAAACTTACACCACCAGGATAAGGAGAGGAGAGAAAGTTAAAATCATTTTGAGGTAATGGAGTGACTTGAACCAATGTTCTGGTAAGTCCCAGACATCTGCCTTAATTGACTCGGCCACAATGGTACAAAAGTCACTCCGTTGCCTCAAAATAATTTTTACTGACATATCACACCATTGTGATTTCATTGCAATCTGATGTGGGACGTAAGAGTATGAACGCCATTACTATAGGCCAGTGTGTGGTCAGGTCCTCCAGAACCTCACAGAGAATTCAGTAGACTTCCGGATTGGTCGACTTTTGTACCTTCGTGGTCAAGTCGGTTAAGGCAGATGTCTGGGAATCACCAGAATGCTGGTTCAAAACACACTATTGCCTCAAAATAATTTTCATTGATATATCATGCCATTGTGATTTCATTGTGAGCGGAGAGGAGAGAACATGGTAATGAACAGGAAGGAGACTCCTGGAATGGCTTGAGGACAGCATCCGTGGCTGGGGCACAGATTACAAGACAGGTGATAAGGTGTTCGATGCCAGGGCCAAGATCGATTCACAGCTGCCCCAAGATCTGTATTGCACAAAACCCAACATTGAATGTAATGAAATGCCTCTTTATGGAGGAGCCCCTGTGGCTCCATGAAGCTATCTTGCTGAGATTGCTCCATACTAAAAGGTCACATTAGTAGTGGACGTTCTGTTTGGCCTACTGGAGACCAGAGCCAGAACCTAGCATGCTCACGAGGTAGAGAGAGCAGGTGACAATTTGCCACCCCACTAGAAAAAGCCTTCAGAAAGTCGGCAAAGCTTTATAGACAACTGGAGGGTTCAGAGAAAATGAACCCTTAAAACTGGCAAACAACAATGCAAACAGCCCATCCCCATAAACAAAGGCAAAATCTATTCCATGCACCTGCCAAACTCCCTGTTTATGAATGAAAAATGGTTTACACACAACATAACTGATGACGTCTGAACACTTCCGGAATAAGTAGTTCGCTGATGTCTTTAGTTCGAACCACAACACTGTAGATGCTTCAGCCACGTACTAAAAATACAGTACAAATAATCGCCAACAAAATCTAAACGCCTAACCTAACCAATGCCTATATATGCACAATATGCTAATATATTATAATATTAATTTATATTTGAGTACATTCCTATTTTGAATGAGCAGCATATTAAAATTTATGAATGTATCTTTGGGGTCGACCACTGGAGGGAATGGACTTGGTCTAAGGACGGGTTGTTGCAAATGATTCACACACAACATGAGATTCACTCAAACTAACTCAAAACTTGTTAGTACTAACTACTACCAACCTATCTCAATGCATCTAGCTACAAAGACCCACTCCAGAACTTTTTTTTTGTTTTTAAGTACGATGGATTGAAAGAGGGAAATAGACAAACTAGACTCCCGAAAATGGCTGAAAACTGCACATCTACAGGCAAGACTTGCAGCAAGCATTTGCCTTTGAATCCATATGAACCAGATTAAAATCCCAGCATTGAATGTAATGAAATGCCAATTTCTGGGTGAGCGCAGGTGGCTTCCTGAAGCTATAGTGGTGATATACAACAAACAAATACAAATATTTATTCAGGTAAAGTACATACATACAAGGTGAGATACAAAAGTTGATGGGTTTATAGATAGAGCTAGTACATACAATGCCTAAAGCCACTATTACGCAAAACGTTTCGGGCTGGCCAAATATATTGCCAAATTACTAGGTGCCATCAGTCATAGAATTCTTTTAGGCCTACCGGGAGCCATGAGCCAGAACCTGGCCCCGGGAACAAAACCCAGCCCACTGTAAAACAGAAAACCTAAATAGTAAAGAAGTTACTGCCTGAAAACCCCGATCATTATCACAAGGGACTGGTAGGTGAGCAACATGCAGAAAACAAGTCCCACATGGCTCAGAGTCAAAGGTGTCACCAACCCATCACAGGCATCATGGCATCCACCATGATGCCTGTGGCACAGGCAATGGACAACCCTAGAAGTTTCTCAAGGCTAGTGCGGGTTCAGCAGGGACACTCAATGTACCACTGAGCCCACAGGGATTTTTCAGGGTGTACAGAGATATTTCAGATCTACAGGGAATGGACCTGCAGGAATCACTGTGCTGCATCATTCCAAATAAGGGAACAGATTTTTTTTTTTTTTTTTAGCAAGAAGTTTGGAATGCAAGAAGACAAGAGTTGAATAGTCCCTGAAGCAGGTATAATTAGACCATCTCAGCTCACTGGACCCTCAGAGGGCCTACCTCAGTGTATTGTTGTTAGGTTACACAAATTCCAGTGTGTCAAGCCAGCCAAAACTCACTCCTGACCCCCAGAGAAGACAGAAAGCCAAAAATTAATGGCCATACCCAGGGCGAGGACCACCACAAGCGAGGAAGCCCTCTAAAGGAGCTAATCCTGAGTGCTCCAACGAAGAGGACCCTGGCAGCACAAGGACAGTGCTAGGGAAGAAAGAAAAGTTTTCTTCACTGTGCATGTGCACAGGGAAGACAACCCAGTGCACATGCAGCTCCAAGCACTCTATACTCCTGGGTTACACAACACAAATGTGCATTGGAACAGCCACAATGGCAAAAACCACCTCTTAGCTGAAATGGAACATGGGAGCCAGAGCAAAAGAGGGAGCACCTTACACTGTCTACCATCAGCAACAATGGGTTGGAGCAACTGGCTGACCAGCTTTGCTTCCCTCTTTCCCACAAACAAGGGAGGTCAGTGGGGTGAACGAGCTTGTGCTAGTTTCATAACTTTTCAATCTTTTGTTTACATTGTTGGGAGAGTTCTATTAGCAAGTTTAAGGCATCAATATTTCCTTATAACTAGCAGTGGTCTGTTTTATCTCTCTGACTTTGTGGGTGCTTCTCCAGTGGTGGCAAACATGATTAAAATTCACTGACAATTTGATCATAGTGACACTGCTCTCTGTGCCTCTTTAGCGGGGTTCTCGCTCACTGTCCCCAGTAAGCCCTAAAAGAACTCCATGACTGATAGCATCTAGTAGCTTGGCACTGTATCAGCAATGTAACTTCAGGGAACAACAAGGGGGGCTCTCCCAAAAATACCTTAATGTATGCATTAGTGTCACATAATTCCCTAGCATAGCAGAGGAAACTGCCTCTTCCTTCTTACCTTCATTGCTCATCACTCTGAATACAGCATATTACAACCAGTATGGAGTTCAACCCAGACGAATGTCTGGACACCACCACCAGTACACCCTCCACCCAGCCCAAGAACCCCAGGCAGGTGTGCAGCTGCAAGACTTGCCGTTTCCTTGTTACGTCTAGGTAACCACCTGTTACGCTGCTGGCTCCTTGTTCCAAGCCTTGGTGACAAAGGATGTGACGTCACCATCAGGGGTATAAATACCCATGACCTCGGTCACCTCAGCAGTATCTCTCAGGTGCTCAGGGAAGGAACATTACTGCCTCAATGCGACGCCTGCCTACAACTGCTTCGCGTCCAAGTTGTAACTGTTAATGTAAATACTTTGTGTCACCCTTTTGTTTTGTGTTAACTTATGTTTGTATATGAATTTGAGTGATTATTTCTCATGTGTCCTAGCCAAGTATGTTAGCTCAGGTGTGTTGTATATTTTCATATATTATTTGTTCATTTTGATATTTGAGTAAATTTTCCTAATTTTTCAGTTGAATATTCCTTCACTCCTGTGCAATTTTCCCACTGCAAAGGCCAATGCAGCCGTTTTTTTTAATGTGAAGTGCGTGCCACATTCCACCTGCCCAGTATAGTTGCACAACTGAGTCACGTCACAATTAGGCTCTGCCACCACTGAGGAGCCCCCCAAAATACGATACCTTACCCACCCACGAGCGTAGCTCTCATCATGTAACTACACTTAGGTAATTACCTGAACCACTCAGCCTACAGGACTTGTTCTGAAGCTGATAAAAGTAGTGTTTTTGACAAGCAAACAGTTTCAGGCCATCTGTAAGGCATGAGCTTTATTTCCATTCAATTTTAATATTTTTTTAAAAGTTCTCAAAACTCAATCATCTACAATGTTTCAACACAACAATTAGGGCAGGCATTCACATAAAAAAATATAACGCAGTATTTCCAACTTAACAGCACAATATATATCTTTAGTTAGAGCCATCAGGGAAAGCTAATTTTTTTACATCATCATTAATTAAACAACAATGATTGTTTTGGTTCTATATTTTATTAAATAACTGTACACTGCTATTTCTCCATTTTATTCTGTTAAAGTGATTTAGTTACATGCATTAAGGTATATGGATTACAACCACTAAGGGAAGCCAGTTCCCATCGTCCAACATCTGAAGCTCCCTTCTCGTTCTGCAGCCAACGCCGGTCAACATAATAATCCACAATGCTCTGCATTTCCAATTCATTGTAGTTTGACACCAGAATGGGAATAAAAGGGTCTAATGTCTCCCATCCCTGAAAATAAAAATTAAAGCATTCATTATAATGAAAGGCTTCTCTCTGGCGAGCCCTCAGAAGCTCCTTATACTTAACACTTTGGCGTACCCAGCGCGCCACCCCTCAACTGTGCGATATGGGACCCAGGGTGTCACGGGAGCGCGCGTAAATTCTGAAAAGTGTATACTCTCTTCAACTTTGTCACCTTAATTCTCGTCCTACGAGATTAAATTTTGTATCATTGTGTTCGCACTAGAATTCTCTACAGCACTAAATGTATATAAACTCCAAAAGCCCGGCTAATTACCCGCAGCAAACAGAGAAAGTGCGAACGAGTTACCCAGGAGCACGCAAACGCGATAAAATGTTTTCACTATTTTCACTCTGGTCACCTCAATTTTGGTCTCAATGGGTTCGCAATAGAATTCTCTAGAGGAACATTAGCATATAAAATAAAAAACCTGGTCACGCTCCAACCGCCGACGAGTTGAAGACGGGCTACGCGTTAGCCGTAAGTGAGCGCTCAGACGCCTTCCAGCTACACTCCCAATTCCCGCCCTTTTCAAGCCTTTCTTTCGCAATTTTCTTCCTGGAAGGGCCTTGTTCATGATCACTTTCCAACGTGGAGTAAGCGTAGATAGTTTCTAAAGCCGCAGTAAGAAATATAGCCATGGAAAATAGCCGAAATGTTCACACGTTTGAGATGCGAGGGGAGGCGACATTGGTCACAACAGTGGAGCGAAAACAATGGGCCCACGGCGTGTGCCAAGCCGCCTGAGGGCCACGAGGCTCAACAAAGAAAATGGGAAGACATCGGCGCGCATTTTAAAATCAGTCCCAAAAAAATCGGATAAAAACCTGATTTTTGGTGATTATTTAAAGTGGATGACGCAATGCTGCGTCATCCCCGGCATTACCGACAGTAAACGGATGACGCAATGCTGCGTCATGCCCGGGCGAAAGTGCTAAGTGGTACTGTCATGATTTAGAACACACCAGGCCTCTGAGGCCCATTCATGCCAAGCAAGAGAAAGGACCAGAATCTGGCTCACTCCATTAGGTAAGGGGGCACTCAGAGATCAAAGATCAATCCAATACTGTGTACCAAGAAAAATCCCCTCAAAATGATGGGCACAACCATACAAACATCTGTTTGAGGGAAATTAGGAACCCCTAAGGTAAACAGAGGAAATTATAGTTGCTTTGGATTAAATACACTAAATATTATTTGTCTGACCATAGAGATGGTGGCCCAGGTAAATCAGGGTCACTACCAGCCTGCCACCTCACTCATAAACCACGAGAACAGAACCCCACTGAACCTCAGATGAAAAAAAGGAACTGGGTTGGGATGGGGAGCTACATAGAATACACACCAGAAAATGGAGTTTCACTACATTAAATAGTTAATTTCTGGGAGGCCTCCTCTATAGTTCCCTATACTTCACATTAGCAACCTTGGTAGAGAAGGTCACTTTTTTAGAATAAATGACTGACATTAGCTGATCCGTGGAAGAAGTAAGCAGAAATGGGGGGCACAAAGAAGAGTAGCACCAGCTGTGTGCAAAATGAAACAGCACAACACACATGACAAAACTGAGGGACGAACAAAGAGTGTAAGGCCATCACCCAAATGACTTTCCAAAAGCCCCGAGCATAGATGAGAGCTGCAGACATAACAAAGAAAGCCAACAAAGCTAAATGACACTGCAGATGATCTGGGAAATGCAAGCCTTGGAACAGGAACCAAGGAAATCAATTTTAATCATGTCTGCCACCACTGGAGAAGCATTCACAAAGTCAGCAAGATAAAACAGACCATTGCTGGTTATAGGGAAATATTGATGCCTTAAAGTTACCAAAAGAACTCCCCCAACAATGTCAACAACAAAGCATCAACTGGGAAGAACCAGTAGACCACAGATAATGGCAAAGAGCAGACACCTGACACAAAATGTGATGCACCCCTGGCCAGACCAACCAAACATCAATCACCAATAGACCCCTCTAGAAGCCAGCAGATTCATTTTCCATCAGAAAAGAAATACTGTAGAATGCTGAAAAAAAATACTAGAGCCATGTTGCCAAAGAAGCTCCCCCACATGGCAGCTCGAGGTAGGGGCCAACAAGAACACTGCTTTAAGAAAGAATCATGAGCTGAAGGGAAAACCAAAAATTGAGACAAGCAGAGAAATCCCAAAACCCCATCAAGAGGAGGAACCTGAGCAGGCGAGAGAGCAGAAAGTACCAACTGCTCCAAACCCAAATAAAGACAAAAGAGCTGACTGAGGCAACCACATCAATGCAAACTGCAACCAATGTAAATGGGAAAAACTGACCTGTAAAATGGCAGCTGCCTGTAAGCAGAGTCTATAGAGGGAGGTTCAGCTACAACGGAGATCCAATGACAACACATCACAGGCCGTTAGGTGAAATGGATTCCCACACCCAATAGGCAATAAGAATGGTCACTGGAATACAGCAACATTGAGGAAAATCCTTTCAACTCACACCCAGTGAAAGCAGAAATGGAGAGCCAGTCCATAATGAATGCCCCAAAACTGCAAAGGGCTTTCCAAGTCCCAAAAGATAGACCAAGCCGGAAGCACTTGACATAGGGGCCTCTCTCAGATTATTACAAACACCTAAAATAGCCTAGGGGCATATATAGAAGGTAGATATTAAGGGCATGAGTGGTGCATTGTAAAACAAGCATATTAGTACCCTGTGCTACCTTCAGATGAACAAAAAATCTCACAGAGGAGTTGAAGACCCATGCACTGCTCAGGGTGAGGCTCCATCCTCAAGATGCTGGCCTCTCAAGAGACAGCCACCTGAACCCACTAGGTAACGTAACCCTAGCTTGGCAGGGGTAACACCAGCAAATACCTAGAAATGATCACTCTAGACACAAGCAGTTCCAGGTAAACAGTTAATCAGAGTCCCACAAGAATGCAAACATAAACAAACATGCATTTTGAAGCAAATACTAAAACAGAATAAAGACAAGCAAATAGCCTCATAGGACAAAGAAGAATGTCCAGAATGGCCAAAATTTACCTGAAAAACTGGGACTCTTAAGAGAACTAAAGTGGGAACGAGGAGCATAACTGCAACATCTTAGGAGTGTCGCTCCAGGCAAAATGACCGGCATATCAAGACTAGGGGATTGAGGAAGGAAGGTACACAGTCCCCTGGAAGTGTGCAGGTGAACTAATGAGTGAATTGCTTCTTGACTGGGTGGTTCAATAATTTCAGGGGTTTGTTGTCTCTTTTTCTATGCAGAATTTATCTTGTTGATTGTGTGTTTTGTTTTTGCCCATCTTTCTAGTAGCTTTTTCTTGGTTACGAGTGATTTAATATTCTTTGCTTCCTGTGCCTCTGTAGAGGGGGCCAGGTTTTGGCCTCTGGTCCCCAGTAGGCTAACAATGACTCTCTAGGGCCTAGTGTGGATTGAAATGGATGGAGCTATCCAGGTAGCTAGCACCAAGGAGCTACCATAGGGGCCCTCCCAGAAAGAAGCTGTTGTACACAGTTCAACAGACTTTCTGCAGTTTTCTTTATTTTTGTTTTCTTATGTTCTTGTGTGTTCTGCTATTGGCTGTGAGTAGGCCAGCATGTGTCTTAAAAGTGTGGCGTAATTCCTAAAGCTTTGCTATACCAATGCATCGGACAGCTACTGAGGGGTTCATCCTAGAAAAAATGGCTAAACTCAATATATAAGGTAGTGTGTGCTTTAAATATACAGAATATACATAACACAACAATACGCATACAAGCCATGGCATTCTATGTGTTACAGTCACAAAGCAGTGTACAACAAATGTTAATTTTCTTCATTAGATTTATCTTTTAGAAATAATATAAATAAATGGCAATAGGTATAAATCTACCCATTTTCATAAAGGGATAGAAATATTGCAAAAATGAAACATAAAAAAATGATAATAAATCATCATAACTAACCTTCTGTCGCAGGAGATATCGTGGCAAATAAGAATCTCGTCGGTGCCCATCATTGGCTAATCTATCAACAGATCCAACTACAATTCCATTTCTCTGTTGAGAAAATTTTTATATTTTTATTATTATAATGGACATGTAATAAACCAAGTTTAATAAAAACAAATACAAATATTTATGGAGTGAAATACAATGGGCTGAAAAGCACCAATACAAAAAAAACAGCATTGAATGTGATGAAATGCCATTTTCTGGGCAAGACCTGACGGCTCCCCAAAGCTATACCGGGCTGATGGATATACAGAGGAACCTCAGGTAACGAGCAGCCCCATCTACAAGCATTTCAGGTAACGAGCGAGCCACTTGCAGAAAATTTGTCTCGATTGACGAGCTTCCACTCGGCTAACGAGAAAACCACGTGGTGCTTCCTAGCGTTCCCGCTGGTTCTCGTAAATTCTCAGACGCCTCCTCCGACAGTGTTGTTTTATCGCGCAGGAAAAGCATCCCTCTGCATTTATTTGTGCTTTTCTTTGTATTTTTGTGGTTTTGTGACTACAATTCGTAACCCATGATGTCGCCAAAGAAGCTGCTTGCTAAAGATAGTGTTGTCAAGAGGAGGAAAGACACAATTACTGTATATCTGAAGAAGGAAATCATAGCGAAGCACGAGCATGGTATTCGTGTGACTGATCTCGTCAGGGAGTATGGCAGGTCCTCGTTAACAATCTGCACCATCTTGAAGAGGAAGGAAGAATTTAAGAAGCTTGATGTGGCTAAAGAGTTACCAAGGTTACCAAGCAATTTCATATTTCAAACAAAATTTCATTTTGATGTTTTTTGGGGGTGGAACGGCTTAATTGTATTTCCATTCCATTATTTTAAATGGGGAAATTTGTTTTGCAAGACAACTGTTTCACATGACGAGCTCGGTGCTGGAATGGATTAAATTCGTTAACCGAGGTTTCTCTGTATTTCAGACCGTAGCAACAGTCAATTGAAGGAGCTCTAGGCCTACTGAGGACCAGCGCCAGAACCTGGCCCCTCAGAGAGGCAAGAGAAACAATGGCCTATAGACACCCCTGTGTAGATGGAAGCAGTCTATATCTGCCTCTACCAGATCAGGCACCCAGAAAGGTAGGAATTCCAAAACAAACTACAGCTGGTGAAAAATTGCTAACTGAAAGCCGAACGAGCAAACAGAACTCCCCAACCAGAAAACAAGCATGACGTCACCACAGCCACCATGCCACTGTTTGCACAACTCCCCCCTTCCCGGGAGGGGGAAGGGGGGCCCCAGACCTCCCACGCCAGCAACCCAACCCCAGTTCAGAGGCTGAACATCAAAAATGTGAAAAAACTACAGACTGGAGGGAGGGAGAGATGCTGGAGAGCTTCCAGGTCTCGCCAGAAAATAGCGTTTCATTACATTCAACGCTGATTTTCTATGGAGAGCCCCTTTAGCTCCTCGAGCTACCTAACCAAAGATAAAGGAAAAAGAGGACTTACCCAGGAGGCGGCCGCCAATCCCTCCTCAACTTGAAGTTGAGACAACTGGCTGTAACCTGCGACCCAAAGCTACACATGCCCGAGAAGGGCTAGGAACATTAATGAGGTACCGTACAACCACGACCCTGTTCGACCTTTAAAAGCCCCCCGTGCCCAAATGTCAGCCTAGGACATATTACAGTACCAAAAGCAGCAGCCAAAGCCGCAAACTTACAAACACCATGGGTACGGGGATAGACCACAGGCTGGCTGGACCGAATAACCCTGTGGACGACCTGGAAGACCCGCGCCCTGGAACCGGGCGCGGGGCCCAGGTCCCCAGGTCCTAAAGCACGTTCCCTGCCACGGAGGCTGTGGCACGCAAATAGCGGCAAAGTGCCGCAACCGGACACAAAACATGATGTACCCCCAGCCAAATCAACCAAGCATCAACAACCCAAGGACCCCTCTGGAAAGCTGCAGTCTCATTCTTCGCCAGAAAAGGAGACGGCTGCAAATGAACAAAATGACCACCAGGCCCGAAAGAGCAGAAACCCCTGCCCTAGAGGAGAGCATGAAGCTCCCCAACCTGACCCCCAGAGGCCAATGCCAACAAGAAAAGAGCTTTTGAAAAACAGTCCTGAACCAAAGGGGCCCACAACAAACCAAAGGTGCCACAACAAACCGAGAAGAGAGAAAAGAGAGCACCCGGTTCAACAACTAGTACGGCTCAAGTGGCGCATGGGCAGGCCCGAGGTGAAACAACGTCCGAGAAAGATCGTGGAATGGAGAAGAAGTGACATCCACCCCGAACTCAAGCCGAAACGGCTCCGCTAGCGCTGCACAATACAAAGTGACAGTATTCAGCATAAGATGACGGCCCTGAAACAACCAAACAACCAAGAGAGAAAGGACAAAACAACCCGATCAGAAATCGAAGACAACCTACAAAGAGTCAAGAAGTGCCAAAAGCCAGGAAACTTTATACTGCTGCCATGACAAAACTCGCAGGTGGGACACCATCAACTGAGCCACCTGATCGCCATACAAGTGGTGATAAACCCGCGTCAAAAAGACCAGATGAGAAGATCGGAGAAGAACGAACCATCCCCGTACCGGACCGGACCGATCTGCTGAAAGAGGTAGAGTAGCAGGAAGACCCTCGGGTTTGGACACCGCGTAAGAGCCAAGTCTGAGTCATCCTGAGATAAGGGAACAGAGCAACCTTCAAACTCGCACGAACCGTGATGGGACTCGAAGGTCTCGTCCATCGGACTGATGAGCCCCCAATGGGGGTTTCCAGGGCCCTTAGGGTGACTGCTAAGGAAACCCCTAGGCAAGGTACTGCTAACCAGTTATCTCAGAGCTACCAAGCAAACAGACTAAAGCTGAACCCCTATGATGTGTGCAATCACGGGGACCTAGCGGAGGGCCACCAAAATCATACTAGTGGTTCTACAGCCACACCAGGAAAAACAAAAGAAAAGAAAAAGAAAACCCTGCAAAGGCACAATGTCCCCAGGAGAACAGAACCGGCTGCTATGCATATATCACAGCTGCACAGTACCTTGCGCCCCGGCCAGTGATGATACTACCTCCTACCCAAGGTAAAGCAGGAATAAGAACCACCCCCAGCTGATCCCCAAGGGTGGGCAATCACCGAACAACAAAAGAACGGAGGTAGATTCCCAAATGGAAGATAACCCTAAACCGCAAGGGCAGTACTTACAGGACACTTAGGAAAGGTGGCCCTGGGTGCATGCAGCCCTAGTACTCTAATGTTACTCCTGGCTCACACACCACCACACAGAACAACAACGCTATGGACAGCACTGCTCAAAAGGATGGAGCTGGATTCGATAGACCGCCACTGAACTGGGGTTGGGTAGCCGGTGCGGGAGGTCTGGGACCGGCTCCTTCCCCCCCTCCCAGGGAGGGGGGAGTTGCGCAGACAACGGCGCAGCGGCTATGGTGACGTCATGCTTATTTGCTTGTTTTCTGATTAGGGAGTTCTGTTTCCCTCATTCGGCTTTTGGTTAGCAATTTTTCACCAGCAGTAGTTTGTTTTGGGATTCCTACCTTTCTGGGTGCCTGACCTGGTTGATGGCAGATATCGACTGCTTCCAACTACACTAGGGTGTCTATAGACCATTGCTTCTCGTTCCTCTCTCAGGGGGGCCTGGTTTTGGCACTGGTCCCCGGTAGGCCTAGAACTCCATCAGTTGACTGTTGCAGCGGTCTAATACATACACATCAGCCCAGTATAACTCCGAGGAGCCGAAGGGGCTCTCCATAGAAACCAGCATTAAATGTAATGAAATGCCTTTTTCTGGTGGGTCCTTCATGGCTTCCTGTTGCAAGCTATCTGGTTACCTTCACACCTAATTGATTGTACCAGGATGGGGTTCTGGGAGTTCTTCTACTCCCCACTTGTAAGACTTGACTTGTGAGAGCTTGGTCCACCAGGCTGGTGGATATGTGGGCCTGTAGGCCAACATATCCACCACAGCCTGTTTGGTCCAGCACTTCTTGAAGAAAACTATCTAGTTTTCTCTTGAAGATGTCCACGGTTGTTCCGGCAATATTTCTTATACTTGCTGGGAGGATGTTGAACAACCATGGATCTCTGATGTTTATAGTGTTCTCTGATTGTGCTTATGGCACCCCTGTTCTTCACTGGTTCTATTTTGCATTTTCTTACATGTCGTTTACTCCAGTAAGTTGTTATTTTACTGTGTAGATTTGGGACCTGACCCTCCAGTATTTTCCATTTGTATATCATTTGATATCTCTCTCGTCTCCTTTCTAGCGGTACATTTGGAGAGCTTTGAGACAATCCCAATAATTTAGGTGCTTTAACGCATCTATATGTATGCCATACATGTTCTCTGAACTCCCTCTATTTCAGCAATCTCCCCTACTCTGAAGTTGATACTCGCTAAGTGAGTACTGAGCAGTACTGAAGACGGGACAGCACAAGTGATTTGAATAGTACAACCATTGTGATGGAATCCCTGGAATTGAAAGTTCTCGTAATCCATCCTCTCATTTTTCTGGCTGACGCAATATTTGCTTGGTTATGCTCTCTAAACGTTAGGTCATCAGACATCATTATTCCCTGATCCTTGACATACTCCTTTCCTACTATGGGCAAATCTGATTGTGTTTTGTACCCTGTATTATGTTTAATGTCCTCATTTTTACCAAACCTGAGTATCTGGAATTTATCACTGTTAAACATCATGTTATTTTCTGCTGCCCAGTTGAAAACTTTATTAATATCTGCTTATAGTTTTTAATTCATGAACAGAAGTAATTTTCATGCTGATTTTTGTGTCATCTGAAAAAGATGATTTGAAGCTGTGACTTATATTTTTGTCTATATCTGATATGAGAATAAGGAAAATTATTGGTTCAAGGACTGTACCCCGAGGTACAGTACTTGGACTCGATTTTATTTGGTTGATTGTTACTCTGTTCTGTTCGACAGAAAATTTAATATCCACTATCCTACTTTACCTGTTATTCCCACTGACCTCATTTTTTGTGCTATCACCCCATCTTGAGGTTATCTTGAGATGATTTCGGGGCTTTAGTGTCCCCACGGCCCGGTCCTCGACCAGGCCTCCACCCCCAGGAAGCAGCCCGTGACAGCTGACTGACACCCAGGTACCTATTTACTGCTAGGTAACAGGGGCATAGGGTGAAAGAAACTCTGCCCATTGTTTCTCGCCGGCGCCCGGGATCGAACCCGGGACCACAGGATCACAGTCCAGCGTGCTGTCCGCTCGGCCGACCGGCTCCCCATGGTCACATTTATCAAATGCCTTTCTTTGTAAAGTCCATGTATACCACATCAACATTTTGTTTTTCTTCTAATGCCTCAGTGATTTTGATGGAGTGGTCAAGGAGCTGCGAGAGGCATGATCTTCCCACACCAGATCCATGTTGGCCTTGTTGTGGAGGTCATTGGTTTCCGTTAAATTTTTCATGGAAAGTGTAAAGTGAAAGTCTTTTGTGCCCAATAAGACAGCACAAAACTTAATACTGGCACCTCAGTAGCACAGGATGAGAACCTGTGCTACTGGCACTTTGCATTTCTTTTATAAATATTGAATTAAATAAGTCTGGACCCAGGGCTAAGTGCATGGGCATGCGAGTTAATTTTTCTTTCAAAATCTGCAGCGTATGGGTTAATATCGGTTATATTTTCAAGGGTTAGGATATCGCGCATACCGAAACTGTCTGGATCTTCCACTTTTATGTTGTTTATTGGGAGGTGCTAAACATGTCCTCATACTGATTTTTTAAGGATTTCACTAATTTCTTTATCATCCTCTGTGTATGAACCTTCACTTGTAAGAATATGTCCAATACTGACGCTGATTTTTGCTTTTGATTTTACATATGTGAAGAAATATTTTGAGTTTTTCTTTATCTCTTGTATGGCTTTATGTTCAAATTACATTTCTTTAATCTGATATGATTGCTTCAGTCTGCTGAATTTCTTCAATCTCCCTGTTTCAATTATTCCTTCTTTGTAGGGATAGTCATGTCTGCTACAGCATTTCCGTTTTCCTTCTTTTGTAGTGCCGTTTGTTTTCTCTTTCTACATTGGTCCACTTTCTTGCTTTCCATAAACAAACGTTCTGGAACGACTTTATATGCTTCGGAAGTCAGTTATTCTATTCATTGCATGGGATTTTTATTAATTAGAACAGTTTCCCATTGAATGTTTGTAAGTTTAATCAAGGCTAAAAGCCTACTGGGAACTAGCAGCTAAAACCTAGCCCTCTCAGAGGCACAGAGCAGGGTATGCTAGACCACCCTATCCAAGACATAAACCACAAGAAAGGAAGAACAAAACAAAACAGACAAGAGTTGGCACTTGTAAACAACTCAGAAAATGAGGCACCCAGTACCTAGGGTTTTCAACTGATATTAGCAACTGACCATCACTAAGTGGCAGCACTGGGGAGTTCCCAGATCAGGCGGTGGAGCCCCTTCCATCATGAGCACACCAAGGGCAACCAACTGACGCACCTGAAAATGGCAAGGGAGGGTCCGAGGAGCCACCAAGGTCCCACCAGGAAGAGGAGTTTCATTATCCCTAGTGCATGTTTTCTGAGAGAGCTCTACAGTGGATCTCTGTTACTATCACGACACAAAAAACAAAATAAAAAGAAGCAGACCCACCAGGAGCAGTGGAGAGCAGAAGCCAGGAACTCCCAGAAAAGAAGAAAAACAGTGCTGGGAAAACATAGCAGACAAAGATGCAAACACCCAAACTAACACTGGCCCAAAACAGGTTGCAAACCTCGGTTGAACAGAGGTAACCAGTGGACTCCCCAAAGCAATAAACCCAGCATTAAATGGAATGAAGCACCTCTTTTTGGAGAAACCCCAGTGACTCCCTTATGCTATCTTGTTGAAATTACTAAATGGTCACATCAGTCATGAAAGTTCTGTTTGGCCTACCTGGGACTAGAGCCAGAACTTGGTCCCCTTATAAAGGCACAGGGAGAGTGAATTTGCCACGCCACTGGAAAAAATCCTCCAAAAAAGTCAGAAAAGCTTAGCAGACAACTGGAGGGTTCACAGAAAACGAATCATCGAAAACTGTGCAACAACTCTGAAAATGATTCACACAGAACAAGGGATTCACTCAGACTAATTCAAAACTTCTTAGTACATTACTGATAACCACTACCAGGTGGCCCGACCCCAGCTCTAAGTCAGCTTCTCATCTCGGTTCTGGAGCTGATGAACAACCCTAAGATGAACCACTGAACCTGGAGAGAGGTGGGGAATCAAAGAGCCACTGGGGCTCTTCCAGAAAGAAGCATTGCATTACATTCAATGCTGGATTTCTGGAGAGAGCTCCCAGTGGCTCTCTGAAGAACCACAGCACAAAACTGGGATTTAACAGGAAGGAAAATTGGCAGCAGGCACTAGGACGAAGAAGAAAGCCTAGGCTGGGAGACACGGCCCAAAGCAACACACGACCGAATAGGACCACAAACACTGACTAAAACCTTTGACCATAAATATCAGCCCAGGACATGTTAGAGAAGACTGTGGCAAAAGCCACAGATCTGTAAAAATCATGTGCATGAGAGTAGACCACAGGCTGGTTAGACTTTATGACATTGTAGTCAACCTGAGAAATGTGAGCTTGGAATAGGGACCAAGGAAACACTCAACCAACAAGGCATCTACCAAGACAGAATTAGTGGAGAAATGAGTGCCTGGCACCTTAATACTGCTATTGCAAGAAAAAACAGAGGTGGGACACTAACAAACCAGCCACCCACGCACCATATAAATGACAACACACACGCCAATAACTCCAGATGCAAAGAGCAAAGGAGAAGTTCAAACCAGCGAAGTACATGCTGGAAGAAGCGAGATGCAGAAAAAACACCCTGGTAGGACTCAGAGCAACAACTGGACTAGGGGTAAGTGGTACAGGAACGCCTACTTCGACCAGTCTGCCCAAAAGGCATCCACCATGAAGGCCTCACAACCGGGGAATGGAGCTTTGTATATGGGAAGGGGCCGAGACCATGCCAATGCAAAGAGGTCCACACCCGGGAGTCTGAAGATCTCTCAAAGTTACACAAAGGAGGTGGCATAACAGTCCACTCTGTGGAAACAGGAAGGAATTGGGACAGACCATCCGCAAGAACATTGGAGACTCTGGACATGGCAAACAAATTCTAATGCAGATATTAACAACAACAACAATACATAAGCAAATGGCCTCCACAGGACAGAGTCCAAAGAATGGCCAACACTTATCTAGAAAAAATAAGACCTAACGGGCTAAGGTTCCTGTGGAGCAGAAGCAGCCTAAACTTTGTTGCACCATGCAAATGACTGAGGTACTCCACTGAATGATCTGGGAGCTCCCTGGTGCTGCCACCTGGTGATTATTAGTTGCTACTAATGGGTGAATGACCTAACTACTGGATGTTAATTTTCTGAGCAGTTTAGACATGCCCTACTATTTTCTGCTTTGTTTTGCTCTACCTTTCTAGTAGCTTATTTCCCAATTTTGGTTATCACGAATCCTCTGCTTTCTGCGCTTCTGTGAGGGATGCCAGGTTTGGGCCTCTGGTCCATGGTAGATTTTTCATGACTCACAAGAGTCTGGTTTGATTTGAAATAGGTGGAGATAACCAGGTGGCTAGCTACAGGGGGGCCACCATGGAGCCCTCCCAGAAATAACTAGCTCTGCCACCTACAGTATAGTTGAGTAATACAAAAACGTTTTACATATAAAAAAAAATTACACAAAAGAAACATAACTAACCCAATCATTGCCAAAAAGTTGTAAGAATGCCTGATGGATGGTGAATTTCTCTGGATTCAAGTACGTCAGATCCTCCAGACGATAACGCGAGGATGTGCAAAAGAACGTGTTGATGCCATCAGCCACAACAGCAACCTTGCATCTGGAAGACAATATCATACATCACCATATACAGACAGTTGGTCACAATAATGTGGCTGAAAATTAGACACCCAACACACGCATCTGAAAATAGTTACAATTCAGGCTCAAAAGGCTCCTTCATAATATCAGTTGAGTTTATGAAGAACAGGACCTCTGAACAATAATTTGAGACATCAGTAAATTAAGAGTACAGAATATGACAATTGATTGACAGTCTAGCTGATCCAATTAATTAACTTATTTAGATAAATTAGGCTCCATCAAGATCAAATAACACTGATTGAGATCAATCCAAACCAGTACAGTACAGGACACACCTGAACACTTTCCTGGGCTGGGTGGAATGATGGAGGGGCACCAATGCCTTAGTGCCTGAGTGCTTGTGTGTGACCAGCAATAATGGGGAACTTGAATGTAAAACATCTGGCAGATCGTATACTGGGTAAAGCATGGTGGTGAGCAGTCTAAACCAGCCCGAGGCTAACTCCACAAATTATGTTGCTACTCATTAAATTCCTGCCTATATATTATCAATGCCCTCTTTTATGTCTTCTTCATTTGATTTGATTTTCATAATTCATATTCTATATGTTTTGGCAAATTTCTTCTTGTGCACGTATAATGAACCTGTACTCTATTTGAAAGATTAAATAAATTTATAGTTATTGACAGCTGACAATTAACAATAATTCTGGCTAACACAATACAAGACAAACTTCACATTGTGTACAAACAATATTTAAGCATTCTGATGATGGTAAAATGAGTCATCCTTCTGGAAATTCCCAAAGTTCACTTTTTAAACAAATAATTTTTTGTTAGCAGTGTGGGCATAGCTTATCAGATGACAACCAAATTATCAGGGGACCATACAGAGATCACCTTAAAAAACTATCTACCTCTCAAGACCGTAAATGCTCTCTCGGTGAGAATTTTTACTGTGCTTTGCAAATTACGTGCCAGAAAAACATGAACGTTATGTCTGTTTTATTTTTACATTAACATACATCAATAATTTGCACAAATTTCCCTGCTTTAATTTTATTTATGTTGACAAATAAATAAGGAATGTTGCAATTGCCATAAAAATTTGTATATTCTGCACCATCAAGCAAAATCTAATAACTCTCATATTATTTTACATATATACTGTAGCAAATTCATTTGTGAACACATTGGCACCAAAGTTATGTTAATAAACCAAAAACTAACCAAGAAAACATAAGGCGAGTATAAACATTTTAGGTGTCACTGAGCAGAACCTTGAGATGACCAGAATGTTTATGGTCAGGAATGTGGAGATGGGTCCAAACGTTTAAGTATTAATATTACGATACAACCAAACATATACTGTACTTCAGCATTGTTTGCGCACAAATGATTGGTCCTAGGTTCGATTCATGGGCAGGATGAGACTTTTGGAGACATTTCCTTATACCTGGTGCCCCTATGTTTACCTAGCAGTAAACAGATACCTGCTTGATAGGGTTCTGAGAGTTCTACTCCCCAAGCCCGGCCAGAGGTCCAGGCTTGACCTTTGAGAGCGTGGTCTACTAAGCTATTGCTTGGAGCAGCCTGCAGATACCTAGGAGTTAGCAAATGGTTTTCAGTCACATCCCGGGGATGATCAGCCTCAATAAGGCTGATCAGGAGAAACCTCAATAAGCCTAACAGGGGTTTACTGTCCATGACAATGGAAAAAAAACACAAGCAGCAAGATATACAAGTTTAAACTAATATTACTAGGCATCTATGGCATAATTATATCCTCAAGGGGTCCACTTGTTAATTTCTCTGATGCTATCTGATGCTATTAGACTGAAGGTCAGAACAAATGTCATCATAACTGAATTTAGTCATCCTGATCATCCTGGTCAGAAGAAAAGTTAATTATCAATGTCTAAGTTTGTATGGATGTGAAATATTGGACCTACAAAATGTGACCTTGGAACCTTAATTGTGTATGGAAACAATGTTCAAGCTGTATCTTTGGAGTCCATCCTCACACTCGATGCAATCTCCTCTCTGGCATGAAGAAATAGCTCACAAATGAATTATATCCTTTTGTCTGAAAGGACTCACCCATCCAGGAAACTCTGTCAACTCTGTTTTGAGGCGCTCAGCAAAGGTCACTCCAACTTTTCTACAAATATCAACTTAAATATTAGGAAATACAACTTAAGAATGAGTGATGCACATACAGTAAAAGTATAGCAGGTATACAGGACAGAATAAAACAACTAGTCACCATAGATAGCAGGGAGACCCCAAGATGAATATTTGGAATTATGAAGGAACTACTGTCACAAAGAGATAGCTTAATAGACAGGCATTTTGAGCCCTATTGAAGTCAGATCCAGGTTGTGTGTGTTGTATGTTTTGAGTTAGTTTGATCTTGGATAGCCCCAGAATCTGTTGATGTATAATGCTGAGGGTATGCAGTTTTCTATAACTACACGGTAAGATTATATTATGTTCATTTAAATTGTCGTCTCATTATCCTAATGTTGCGATCAAAATTTGTATCAATTTTCTGTCTCACTGCTCTGAAGGTAAAATACACTATGTTTTTCCAATACATATCCAATACATATCAAATTGTAAGCTAACTGTTACTCGCTTTGTACCAAAAATGTGTTTGATTTAGATTTTTGTGTACCTGTTTGATTCAGCCATTATTGTAATAATTTGTGTAAGTTGTTACAATAAATGTGCCCCCCCCATATTTATTCCTGTAGTAGTCAGGGTTCATTCTAGATGCACAATCGAGATTTCCAGGCGGGAAAGAAATGGTTGGGCACATTTCCTTTCACCTAATGCTCTATTCACCTAACAGTAAGTAGGTACTCATGAGTTAGTCAGCTTGTTGTGGAGTTGCATCCTGGGCGGGGTTAGTAATTCGCACTTAGGAAGGGGAGAGGGTCCTCGATATAAGCCTAACGTGTATGAATACACTCTAGCTTCCTGTCCCCCGGACACAATAAATTATTATTATTAAAATTATTAAAGCTTCAAATTATAAATCATCAACATTTAACTAAATGAAATACTAAACAATTTCAATATTATTGTATTTAGCATATTACCTTTTTGCTGTAGCATACTGCTTCAGCTCAGTGGCAAGAGCCATAATGCAATCTGAGGCATATCGGGCCCGAGATATACCCGTCTCTATTAGTTCTGAAAGGGGAACTCCAACCTCTGTCACTTCACGTCTAGACCACATATACTTCTCGCTCGTCACAAGCTGCAATGAAATGATGCACTAATAAGAAAAAGGTTCAAGAAATAATCAGTCAACTTACTGAAATTGAATTAGCCTCTGCAGAGTTAAGTGTGATACAGGTGAATGCCAGGCAAAAGGTGAGGTGAGGGCTGCTGGCTTCTCTCACTTTGTTATGGTAACCAAGTACAGTACTGCCACCTGGTGACAATCAATTTAGTGGATAGTTTACTAACCAGAACTTAACAGCTATAACAGGTTTCTGCTATGATTCCAATTCGGCCCGTAGAATTGTGCCGAGTGATTTGCTTCTGATTTCTGTCTTAAACTTAGCAATTGCTCAGATAGAGGATTGAGGTCAACTTTACACTGTCTCCCTTTCCTAACTCAGTAGCAAGACCTTTAAAAAGATGCTTATAATGGTAGAGCAAAACCCAACAAGAGCCGAGCGAGTGAACACTGTCCTGGATGAACCCTGGCCCCGGATCAGGGAGCTACAACACATGTACAGTACTACAAACCACACAGTGAAAGTCAGTACTTTACCTGCAAGGTCTTAAGAAGTTCAGAATTCTGAGATTTAAAATGCTGAAGCCACATAACAGCATCGAGAGGATGATCATAACGGCCAGGCACAGAGGCTGACTGTGCTATCTCCTTGAAGCCTCTCCTCCAGCGAGGTGCTGAAACAAATACTTGACTATCACCGCCACAACTAAGACCGTTATGAGCATATAACACAAGTGAACATTGATGACCAAGCCACACACAAGATGATGAAGAAGCAACAATGTTTCGAGTTGATAATTGTCCAGGATGGACCAAAATGTCGTCATTTCTTCATCTTCTGACGTGTGGTTTGGTCATCATATCTTCAGCCATGTTATTGTGTCTCATTGTCTGCACCAGTGAAGATTATTTTCATTCACAAACCTTGCATGATTTAAGTGCAGAACTACAAAATTTTAAAGATCTATAGTAAAGTATATTACTGATCAGTAATGCAATTTCAGAGATGATGAATTATGCTTATCTCACAAAAAATTAATTATACTTAACCCACAGAAGACGAATTATACTTGCCCTGTGGAAGATCAATTATGGTTCTCTTCTTAGTTAATCAATTATGCTTACCCCATGGATGACTGATTACACTTACTCCATGGATGAGTGATTACACTTACCTCATGGATGATCAATTATATTTACCCAATGGATGATAAATTATATTTATTCAATAGATGTTAAATTATATTTACCCCATGGAAGATGAATCAGTAGCCATCCATCCTCCGACAAGAAATGAGTAATATGCACTAGTGACAAAGATTTTCCAACACCATCATTGCCATCTGTTGCCAGGTTAAGGACTACAAGTTATTAAAATTACTATACACAAATAATTTAAGAATTTAAAAGATCAATCATAAACGTACAATTTACAGTAGTGAAGCACACAAAAACCCAGCGTTTAAAGTAATGAAATGCCAATTTCTGGAGGTCAGGCTGTTCCCTGACGCTATCATCCTAAGATCACTGCACACTGAAAGATCACATCAGCTCTGTTAAACGAAGGGCCTCCTTAACCACCAACATAGGAAGGAAACAACGACTTATAATGAAATGATCGAAGTGCACAAATGGATGAATGTAGTAATATACAAAAAGGGATATTAACTGGGGTATTAGGAACATGAAACAATGGGTATTTAACTGGGTAAGTTTCCATGTTTTTAAATGAAGGGCCTCCTTAACCCCTGCATAGTCTCTCTGGATGGATTGAAACTTGGCTAACACCCCCTCTGCGGGTTTGAAGCGTCAATGGAAGAGTTGTAACATTATGGAAAGAGTGCTCTAACCAGGTTGTCCTTTAGAAATTTCCCCTTCTTTCATGCTAACATTGGTGACTTCTGTGGAAAGATAGGCCATGCGGGATGTTCTCTGTACACGTTTTTAAGCCAGTCCCACAGGTTTTTCATATTCTGTTGTAGGGGACTTGCAATTCCTGGGAAATAGAGGAGAGGAGAGGTAAGATCACTCTCTCATTAGCGTCACGTCTCCATCCCATGTTTAGTAGAATCTACCTGTCTATTCCCAGGACCTTTGTCGCTGCTGCTAGAATAACATCATTTGGGTATCCTCTACTTCTGAATAATGTCCTAATGTCGATCAAACCACGCACTAGAAAGTGGAGAGACGACGAAGTTTCGGTCCGTCCTGGACCATTATCAAGTCGACTGTGTGACACAATCGACTTGATAATGGTCCAGGACGGATCGAAACATCGTTGTCTCTCCAGTTTCTAGTGTGTGGTTTGGTCAACATTTTTCAGCCATGTTATTGTGACTCCTCATCTGCAATGTCCTAATGTTTTCCTGGGGCTCCTGTAGGTTCTGCTTCTTGCTGATGATTCTTTTTAGCCATATGCCCAGCGAGTATGGAAGCGACTTTTTGAGGAAGAGTGGGCGACTCGATGAGTAGAGTTGAAACAAGTGTAGATTAGTAGATTTGCAGTAGGCTATTGTTATAATGATCTGGTGCTTAGTTCATGGCTCTCCCTTTCTCCCCTCCCATTTGTCACAGTTCACCTTCACTAGTCATATCCCTGAGTCAAGAGGTTCACTCTTGGCCCTCTCCATTTCCCTCTCTAACCCCCACTCGATTCCCTCTATACTCCCACTCATTCCCCTCTCCTCCTGCCTTCGCCAGTAACCATTTGACAGTTTTAAGAACAGTGACGATTTACCGTAATTCTCAAGTTTCGAGTGAGGGAGCTGGGAGCCATATACGGCTGTGGTTTCCTGTGTAACGTGGGATCGGTTCATGAGTCTACAGGAGTAAAACATAACGTTCAGGACAGGCCTGTGTCACTTAGGGGCGGGGCTAGTCAGAGGTCTGGCTGGCCTAAGAATGAGACACTATAGTCATTAGTTGAGTTTTGATAGGCGGAGTTAAGTGGGCCTAGGAACTAAGTGGGTGGAGCCTGTTCCACTGGTTAGAGTTTTAGGAAATATGAGAGTCAGTGTGTCTTGGGGCTTAGTGGGGTACAGGTCCCGTTGACCTGTGGGAGGCAAGCCATTAACAGCTGGGCTGGTTGCAGTAGTACGGTATAGTGCACTTCAGTTTCATGTATATTTCAGTATTGCCGTCATTTGCCTCTTAGGATGTGTTAGGACCTTTCAAATTTTTATTTTAATTTACGTGCTTAATTTAATAAAGTGAATATATTTGTTCCAGTGGTATTCAGTTAATTAGCCTTTTTAATCTATTTTTCTACTTTGTCACTTTTATATGTGGTTGATGTGTTGGCTTAGAAAGTTCGTGTTCTCTCCTCCATCTATGAATATTAGAGTCGCTCTTGAATCCCCCTTCAGTTCTGTAACGATTACAGCATTCATCCTCAAGATTTATTTACTTGCCCCTTTGAGTTCCATGATTATTGAGTCCCTTCCTTCCTGGGGAAACAATAATTTAGACACATTCATTTATGTTTTGGGAAGGTGATGGCAGTGTTTGATGATTTTAATTATTAGTTATAAATTAATAACCCATATTCTTGTTGTGTCCTCCTCATTTAATATTCAGCTTATATTTCGTGGCAGTTCAGTGAGGGGTCATACTGAACTGTAACAGTGTTAAGCTGGGGGTATTGAGTGAAGGGAAAAGAGTAGAGAGAGAGTGGGAAAGGATCATTACAATGGTAGCTTTATTGTAATGGTAACTGAAAGCTACCACTGTAATGGTCCTTTCCTACTCTCTCTCTACTCTTTCCCTTTACTCAATACTCACTGGCTGCGAGCCTGGCTGGCTGACTGGCTGTGAGCCTGGCTGGCTGACTGGCTGGCTGACTGGCTGCGAGCCTGGCTGGCTGGCTGACTGGCTGCGAGCCTGGCTGGCTGACTGGCTGGCTGACTGGCTGAGAGCCTGGCTGGCTGACTGGCTGCGAGCCTGGCTGGCTGACTGGCTGCGAGCCTGGCTGGCTGACTGGCTGCGAGCCTGGCTGGCTGACTGGCTGCGAGCTGGGCTGGCTGACTGACTGACCAAGCTTGACTGGCTAGTAGCATGGCTGCTGGCTGGCTGCCAGCCACATTTGCCCCAAGCCTGGCTTGCTGAGCTGGCCGAGCTGGCTGCGAGCCTGACTGACTGGCTGGTTGTGAGCCTGGCTGGCTGCAAACTTGTTTGGTTCACTAGCTGGAAACCTGTCTGGGAGTCGAGCAGCCTGGCTGGCTGTGAGCCTAGATGGTTTGCTGGCTGTGAGCCTAGCTGGCTGTTAGCTTGCCTGCCTGCCTGCCTGCCTGCCTGCCTGCCTGCCTGCCTGGCCATGAGCCTGCCTGCCTGCCTGGCTGGCTGTGAGCTTGCCTGGCTGTGAGCCTGCCTGGCTGTGAGCCTGCCTGGTTGTGAGCCAGCCAGCCTGCCTGCCTGGCTGGCTATGAGCCTGACTGACTGTGAGCCTGCCTGCCTGCCTGGCTGGCTGCAAGCTTTAATATTATTTACCTGTAAAGTACTGCAAAACAAAAGCTCATACTGTTCTCTGGATTAGCTAATCATTAAGTAAAAAGGATACAAAGAATAAATTTATTTGGAGGTAATGAAAGGTTTGTTCTCTTGATGTAGTCAATGGCAGTAAGTGCTGGTTTTCTAATCATGAGGCAGGTCTCAGCAAATGTTTTACATTGTGTCACATACTGCATGGGAATGCCACCATGCCCAAAAAGTTGTTTCACTGCATCTGGCTGTAAGGTGTACCACAAACCCAGATGGTCTTGTGTGTGGAGACCCTGAAATAGAAGTTGGAAAAATATAATCATTGTAATAATCTGTTTTCCACTTTCATGAAGTGGAGAAGAATTGACCCAGAGAAAAAAAGCAGAATTGGTAAAGAACATCAAAGATATTACAAAACTGCACAGTACATATACCTAAGCAAAATGTAAACAAACAATACAATTTTGTTATCACTATGCTTGACTACTTTCGTATGACACCACCTACTTTTCCTGAGGTTGCACAATAATGCCCATTTAGGAAAATAATTAAACACTCAGTCAGAACAATAGTAAAAGAGATACCTTTCAGTTCCTCCATTTTCCATGCTCTATGTATAAATTTCACCAAGTAAAATTTTGAACTTCAACCTGTCAAATGAGGAATATGAACTAAGAAAACCTGACTGAAGAAAGATTTCATCCTCATATGAATTATTTTCCAAGGCCCAGCTTCCAAACCTTATTTTTCAGAGGTAGCACTATGACTCACCAACCCAGGTAAGCAAGAAAACACCATCAAATTCCAAATGTAAACAAATCAGTTTTTAGTTTTATTTTTATTTTAGTTTTTTACTTTAGTCTTAACTACAGTATGCTTAATGGTTTTCCCATGACACCCATTGAAGATAATCATTAAAAATTAATTGTGAGCAATATTAAGCTTTCAGCTGCAAATCACAATCAGGGATGTCATGATCATTAACCCCTGCACTTCGACATGACTTTTGACAAGCTGCCAGCTTCATTTCCTCATCGAGGCCACTAGTGTTAGTGGCTCTCGGGTAAATTAGCTAAGTATTTAACTACAGCCCCGTTAGTCTGGCACTTCTTGCAGAAAACTGTACATTTTTTTCTTGAAAACTTCCACTTTTGTTCCAACAATATTTCTCATATATACTTGCTGGGAAGATATTGAAGAACCATGGACCTATGATGTTCATACAGTGTTCTATGATTGTGCCTCTGACACCTCTATTCTTCACCGACTCTATTCTGAATTTCCTTCCATATTGTTCACTCCAGAATGTTGTTATTTTGCTGTGCAAATTTGGGACCTGTCCATCATGTACCTTCCATGTATATGTATAGTTACTTATAGGAGCTGCCTCGTATGGGTCAATAATAGGAGCTGCCTCGTATGGGCCAATAGGCCTTCTGCAGTTACCCTTGTTCTTATGTTCTTATATATTGTTTGATACCTCTCTCTAGTCTCCTTTCTACAGAGTACATTTTGCAAGCTCTGAGACAATCCCAGTAATTTAGGTGCTTTAACGTGTCAATGTGTGCCATATATGTTCTTTGTATTCCCTCAATTTCAGCAATCTCTCCTACTCTAAAGGAAGAAGTGAATACAGTATTGAACAGTACTCAAGGGGGGACAGCACCAGTGATTTGAATAGTATGAGCATTGTGATGGGATCCCTGGCTTTGAAGGTTCTCGTAATCCATCATATAACTTTATTAGCTGATGCTATATTTGCTTGGTTAAGCTCCCTAAACGTTAAGTCGTCAGATATTATTATTCCCAGATCCTTTACATGTTGCTTTCCTACTATGGGTAGATTTGATTGTGTGGGTATGTGTTGGAGTTGTGTTGGAGTTATGTTGGAGTTGTGTGGGAGTTATGTGGTAGTGATGGGACATGCCACATTACGTGGTTAAATGTTTTATTTTATTCGAACACTGCCAACAAATGAATTTATCCTCCAAGGACAAATAAAAATGAAATACTGTTCATTGGAATTAATTTGAAAATACATACAAAATGTAAGAAAAATTGGTGAATAAGATACAGTATCTGTACTTAAACTATAACTGGATTTTGATGATAGTGTGGCAATGGCTACATGTCACCATCACAGAGACAAACCAATTCATATGGCATTACTGTAGTTCCATCCATAAAGGAGAGGGATGGATGGAATTAGAGAGGGGGGGGGGGAGAAGTTTACCTGTGACCTGTTTCCTTGTTAGTTAAGTAGTCTTGTACTTGTCTGCCCATTTTCTCACCTGCCTGCCCTCCCAACCTAATCTTCATTCTTGTCCACCGATCTTAAAATTCCCATCCACTCTTTCTGCCAATAAACAGGGGTACATATTTCAGTGTACAGTGGAACCTCGGTTTTCAAATGCCTCTCTTTTCAAGTTTTTCAGTTCTTGAGCTCAATTTCTTTGAAAAGTTTGAGGTGGTATTTGAGGTTTGCCTTGGTGCTCGAGTTTGTTGATACACGTATGGGCCGACCAAGCACGTGGCATGCTTCAGTTTACCGGTGTCTCCCACCTATTGATGACTCCGCTTGAATTCTTTGTGAAGAATTTCATTGTTTTTGTGCATTTTTGGTTTCTGAACATAAAAGTTCTTATTATATATCATGCCATGGGTTCCAAAAAAAGTGGGTGGTAAAGTTCAACCTAAGAAAATAGTTGTGAGAATGACAACAGAGGAAAAACAAGAGACCATTCATAGAGACAATGTGATGTCTCACTACAGACAAGTGTTAAAACAGAGAAAAACAATTGTCTACAGACAGTCTTAGTAAGACAAGCAAGCAGTGAGCCACAACCAGGTCCTATTGGTATGCCTGCAAAATGTAAGAAAGAGAGTACCCCAGAAATGTTATCATTGCTGTTATAATGGAAGGGGGACTCCCTTTCCAAACACTAACCCCTCTCCTCCTCCTCCTCCCCCTCTTCCTCACTGTCTTCCATACGCCAATAAGAATCCTCAACATAGGTAAGATATACTGTACTTGTACATACTGTAGTACAAAATTTTAGTAGTAGTATGTATAAAATGTATTTTTAAGTTAATATTTTTGGGGGTGTGGAACGGATTAAATCAATTTACATTATTTCTTAAGGGAAAATTCGTTTCGGTTTTCGAACTGTCTCTGGGAACAGATTAAATTCGAAAACGAAGGTACCACCATATATGTCATCTTCAAACACACAACCACTAGTCCTCTCAATGCAATTCTTGCCATCTACCAATATTTGAACCACTGGAGATATATATATACTAGCCTTCACTGGCATTTGCTGGCCAACCAGTACGTATACTTTATTCCTGAACATAGTTGAGAGATGAAATAAACTCTTTATATTCTGGGTTACACTGAGAAGTGTATTAAACCTTCCGGTGAATATGTACACCGATTTTCATGATATATATACATCAGCTGATATACAATGTGACTGGTCAGTTGTCCAGCTGAGCCAGCAACATTATTAGCTAAAAGATAAGATGAACAATGTTACCTTCCCTCTGACTGGTGAAACTAAAAGTAGTAGTGACCTCTATCACTCCAAAATCTCTAATGTCACATAAACACCTTCCTGAATTTGCCATCTACAGGGAATTTCTTAGCGTTACTAAGAATCTTTGTAACACAGCCATTTAAGAAGAAATACATGACTGAATTTATTACCTGGCAAATTTTTTGGTGTCACCAAACAACATACTGTATATATAAGAAACGGAAGTTTGTTAATATACTGATGTCCAGACACCAGAGACCAGCAACCATCCGGAGATTGGCAGCCTAATCCTATATACTACATGCAAATAGTTGTGAAACAGTATAATGTTTTCATGGTTTTCAAAATAGAAAAAATGGATAAAGCTCTTCCCACTCACTGGGTGATGAACAGAAGTGCGTGGAGCTGTGATCTTCACCGCAGGAGCTGCCTCACTGCTCCAGCATCTTGCTGCTTTCCTTAAAAAAACTGGACTCTTTTGGATTTGAAGTAAACTGTTAGGACCTGTGAGGAAAATAATCTTAATAATGATCAAATCATTTAATATTGAAACAATGTGTAATTTAAAATATTCATAAAAAACTTAATTTGTAAAAAAAAAAAGATATCGTTAGCTTACTGCAAACTGAATTACAATACTGTATTATATTTGATGATGATGATACAATACCATCACTGACTGGAGAGCAAATCGCTAATTTCTAATAGTGGCAGTTACCAAGTTTGTTATGCCTGTATAACTTTACCTAATCTAGCCTAGCAGTATATGCCTTGCCTTACCCTTTAACACTGTAACTTAAAGGAAGCCGGTGGTAAGCAATCACCAATTCATTCTTATATATATAAAACGTACATGACTCAGCCTATTAATACATAACGTTATTAATAGGCAGTTAGCAATGTAGATTGCAAGACTTAAACCAACCTGAAATAACTTACTCCAATGACATATATTAGGGGCATGTGAAGCATTCAACACAGTAGTTACAAATTATATCAAGAGTTTTATCACAGCTTTTAGGGTTGTGATGGAAAAAAGAAGTGTAGGTGTTCGGCAGTCCTCCCAATGGCTGGTGTCAATGCCTATCACATTTAAAAAAAAAAAAAAAAAAAAGATGACTGCATAGCTGTTGTGTCCTGTGGCAAAATTAGGCAAAACAAGCAAAACAAATAGTATGAACAATTAAACTTTAATTAAATTTAAAACAAATTATGAATAAGACAATTCCTTGGCTATGTACAGTGCAAACTCACAAGATTCAAAAAATAACAAAAATAATATAGTGGTGACGTTACTCTAAAATGGATAAAGACAAAATGAAATTAACAGGTGCCGAGAATAAAGCGCCGGCTGAGAACATCCACTAATAGACAGAGCGTATATCAGATGGTTGTTTCAGCTTGAGACCACAGAATAGTCTGACTCCAATGGCTGGTGCAGGCCCAGACATCGGCTAGGTAGATGGTGCTGAGGTGCAGAAGTGCAGTGGTGCAGACGTCGATTCACCAATCAGAAGCGGGCAGGCTGGAAATGCTAGTTTGGTGATCAGCGACGAGGGAGGGGGGAGGTGGAGAGCGAGTGTGTGATACGTTTGCGCCTGGCAAAACATATTTGACTAAATATGTACTACACTTGCTTGTAGTATCTAAATGTTGTAGATGTACTGAAGTAACATGACGACAGGAAAGAGCAGGCCAAATCTCTCTTGAAGGAGATTATCGTAACAGGGTAAATGCACAAAATAAAGTTTGGTTTGATTAGATAAGTTATGCTTGTTGGTATTGTTGTTGAGATAAGGACAATGATAAAACTAGGCCATAGATTTCTGGACTGGAAACTAAATGGTCAATATCCCGAAAAAGAATAATAATAATGATTATATCATGGTGTCAAAACGGAGTAAAATCCAGGAGCTTGTAGTGCGTAAATGTTGGAGCAGGAGTTCTCAAGGGGGACTGGTCAAGTTGTCTACTGCAATTTCGGATACCGGGCTAGAAACAACTTCATTCACTGAGAAGTTTGTACATACAAACCATTTTGTTTGTATATGCGCTGGTTTGTGTTCGCTGCTGTTCTCGTCTGAATAAATACAAATACAAATATTTATTCAGGTAAAGTACATACATATAAGGTAAGATACAAAAGTTGATGGATTTATAGATAGAGCTAGTACATACAATACCTAAAACCACTATAACGCAAAGCGTTTCGGGCAGGAAAAACACTAAGTCTAAAACTTAATACTAATTGAGATTAAAGTATAAATTGTGTTGAGAAAAAATAAGAAAAAAAATAAGAAAAAAAAATGGAAAAAAGGGGGGGAGGAAACATAGCAGAAAAAAAGCAAAAATACAATTTGGTCAACAAACAGCATTGTTTAATTAAAATAGTAGACATGGGTTGACATTTTGGGGGTGAGGTAGGTTACAGTGAGTTAATTAGGTAGTACTTAGTTTTTATCTTAAACTGGTTGGGAGAGGTACAGTCTTTAACATAATTGGGAAGGTCATTTCACATTGAAGGTCCCTTGATTTGTAAAGCATTTCTAATTTGACTAAGTCGTACTCTTGGAATATCAAATAGGTATTTGTTTCTGGTGTGGTGCTCATGGGATCTGTTAATGTAAATACATGACACTTCATCATATAATTAGCGCTTCCATTAACAATGCTTAGAGCACTGTTTGTATTACTTTGTTTGTTAACAAAGCACTCTTGTATCAGAGAAGGGAAGGGAAAAAAACTCCCAGGGGGGAAAGTGCCAAGCCATAAAGACTAGATAGCATTTGGATGGGGTCAGGTTAAGGATTTGGGATGGCACGGGGGAAGGGAAGGAATGGTGCCCAACCATTTGGACGGTCGGGGATTGAACTCTTATCAGAGAAGACATCCATTATTAGAATAACAAGGTGCAAACCATACTCCTTACAGTTGAAATCTATTTATTTATATACACAAGGGTCATTGGGTTGTGAGAGTACATAACATTTGTTAAGAGGTACATTGTAGCAAAATTTGAGTTGACGGAGTGGGTAGCACAAGATACAGTGAGAGTTTGAAACATATTTAGAAACAAGGCGCCGCTGAAGGAGGCTAATTTATTCTGCATTCCAAACTCAACCAGTGAGTAGTGAAGTAAAACATAGATTACATGATTATAAAGTCTTAATCAGACCTCAGTGGCTATTTTTACATTATCATTTACAACTAACTTAAGTAAAATAATACCGTAGTGTTTGAATGATGATGAAGGAAAGACCCAATACATGTGAAAATGTGTTATTAAACCAAATTTTGGGACGAACTTACATTTATCAAGGTTTATCAAATAGAGAGAAAGATCTGGGATTGATATCACACCGAACCTGTCCCCAGAGGCCCACATCAAAAGGATATCATCAGCAGCATATGTTAGATTGGCCAACATAAGAACTGCCTTTAGAAAATTGTGTAAGTATATAACAGTTCAAATATCAAAGATTGACGTCTACTAGAAAGGGTAATTACATTTTCTATAGAAACAGTAAAGAGCAACAAATCTTTCAGTTAAAGAAATCCTACTAACCGCAAAATTATTCTTAATGAAGCTAAATTGACAAATATAATTAATTACAAGGAGAAACTACAGGAATTAAACCTCACATCACTGGGAGACAGAAGAGTTAGAGGGGACATGATCACCACATACAAGATTCTCAGAGGAATTGATAAAGACAGACTATTTAACACATGGGGCACACGCACTAGGGGACACAGGTGGAAACTGAGTGCCCAAATGAGCCATAGAGACATTAGAAAGAATTTTTCAGTGTCAGAGTAGTAGACAAATGTAATGCATTAGGAAGTGATGTGGTGGAGGCTGACTTCATACTCAGCTTCAAGTGTAGATATGACAGAGCCCAGTAGGCTCAGGAACCTGTACATCAGATGATTGACAGTTGAGAGGCGGGACTAAAGAGCAAGAGCTCAACCCCCGCAAGCACAACTAGGTAAGTACACACACACACACACACACACACACGCACGCACGCACGCACGCACGCACGCACGCACGCACGCACGCACGCACACACACACACACACACAGAGACTACAGAGACTACATAGAGACTACAGAGACTACAGAGACTACATAGAGACTACAGAGACTACAGAGACTACATAGCAGGCACCATAACAATGGGAGGACCAAGAATAGTAGTAGCAGTAATATACAACCCTCCACCAAATGACAGGAGACCCAGTCAAGAGTATGAAAACAACAACAAGGCAGTTAACACTATAATTGAGAGGGCAGCCTCTGCTGCCTGTAGAAATAGATCCCACCTGCTCATCATGGGCGACTTCAATCACGGAAAGATTGACTGGGAGAACAAGGAACCGCATGGAGGCGAGGATACGTGGAGAGCCAAACTATTGGAGGTGGTGACAAGCAACTTTTTAACGCAGCATGTCGGAGAACCCACAAGGATGAGAGGCAATGATGAACCAGCGAGACTCGACCTAGTCTTCACTCTGAACGACTCCGACATAAGAGAAATCGGTTTTGAGGACCCAGTAGGAATGAGCGACCACAGTGTACTGGTGTTTGAGTACTTGATTGAAGAAGGGTTATTGAACTCGAGGAGGGATACCGAAACCAAAAGGTTAGCATACCGAAAGGGAAACTATGAGGGGATAAGAAAATTCCTAACAGATATAGCATGGGAAACAGAGCTCAGGGGAAAGACGGCCCAAGATATGATGGATTACATCACGCAGAAGTGCAAGGACGCAGCAAACAAGTTTGTCCCAGTCCAAAAGGAAAACAGAGAAATGAAGATGAGAAACCCATGGTTTAATCAAAGATGTAGGCTAGCTAAGCAGCAAAGTAAAAGGGCATGGAGAAACTATAGGAATAACAGGACACTGGAGAGCAGAGAAAGATACCAGAATGCCAGGAATGAATATGTCAGGATGAGGAGAGAGGCAGAAAGACAATACGAAAATGACATCGCAAGCAAGGCAAAGACTCAGCCTAAATTGTTGCATAGCCACATTAGGAGAAAAACAACAGTAAAGGAACAGGTTATGAGATTAAGGATAGGGGCGGAAGGATTCACTACAAATGACAAGGAAGTGTGTGAGGAATTGAATAAGAAATTCCAGGAGGTCTTCACCTTAGAACAAGGAGAAATTCCAGAGGTAAGTGAGGGAATAGCTAACCAGGAACCACTGGAAGAGTTTGAGATTACCAGTGGGGAAGTAAGGAAGTGTTTACTAGAGTTGGACGTGACGAAGGCTATAGGCCCAGATGGAATCTCCCCTTGGGTTCTAAAGGAAGGAGCAAGAGAACTGAGCCTACCACTCTCCATAGTGTATAACAAATCACTGGCAACAGGGGAACTGCCAGATACTTGGAAAGCAGCTAACGTAGTCCCGATATACAAGAAAGGGGATAGACAGGAGGCACTGAACTACAGGCCAGTGTCCCTAACCTGCATACCATGCAAGCTGATGGAGAA